GCCGTGGGCAGAGGTAAACCAGCATCGTGTGAGTGTTTATCGTAGATAGAAGTGTTCCTTCCCATACTAATTCATCTGTCATGCAATTTTTTGGGATGTCCCTGTGTCCAGGTACCCAGACTATGGCAGTACTGTACTTCGTTGAAAGGTTGTTAAGAAAGTTCCTACAATTTATGACCACTTTTGACGTGATACAGTTCCATTAAAGAGATCTGATTGCAGTCAGACCATCGGAATAAGTTGTAACCGATTGTCCTGCAGCCGTGGATTTATGGCCCAGTATTTTCATGCTCATACTTACTGAAAGCACGGGAGAATAAATTCCGCAACCCACCTTCGACAAGCTTAGAGTCGTCTGTGAAGATAGCTTTTTCTCTCTGGTCGGGGGCGTTTTCCCACTCGCATCTGTTTGGTATTTTCGTGGAGAAAACATTATCGAAGCATACACTGGGGGTGGTGTAGTCCAGGTCCTTCAGCAGCTTTGTAAGAGATAATATTTTTATATGTTCTATACTGCATATCTTCCGAGGTTGAGTTGCATTCAATCGTATTGCCTTTGCAACCCCCTTGTAGTTTCCCGTATAGGTCCGGAGGAAGGAAATTGAGAACAGTTTGCAGTGCTTTCGATGGAGTTCATGGCAATGATTCCGTTATCTCCTCTTGGTGAGTTCTGAGTCGATTTCATTTGTATTTTGGGTGGTGTGTCGTAGGTGAGTGAGAGGGAGGTGAAAAGGGAAGGTGGTTAAGGGTGTGGGTGAGCTTTCTATAACTGGCAACAGCCTCCGTTTGATTTTCAAAGGCAATAATTACCCCACAAAAGCACGTAGCGCGTAGACGGAATTCGCTGATTTCAAGATTTATTTCACAGTGATGCTCCTCTCTTTTTAATTTTTTTTACTGGGCTCTTGGACTTCTTAGTACCACTTTACTTGTAGCTACCCAGCATACACACGTGCACACACGCCTGAAAGTTAATATATTTGATGAAAATTTTTAAACTTTAGGCACGATATGGAGATAGTAAATATCAATCGGTCGACCAGAAATTATTTGTGCGCTACTTTGTTACTGTTATAGCCTATTTCCACCAAGCACTTAAATGCATTTAAGGCCTCTGTTAAGTAAATGAAATGTCAAACGTTTCCACCGAAAGTGAGTTAACTCAAACAGCTGATTTTTGTTTACGTTTGCAGTTTGCAAAATTTGTCACAATTATTGAAATCATGAATTCAAGAAACCGCCTTCATTTTATTTGGCTATTTCTGCAATCTTAAGACTTGCAAGTGCAGATTATTTCTGCACGGACAAACGTTGCTGAAACGAATATGCTTTTATGCATGTTTCCGTTTTCATATTTGTTTGTTTGATCCCTCAAATTATTTATTTTGCGCAATCTGCTGATAGTTACCAGAGCCACGTATATTTTTATGTTGAGGGGATCGTTTGATATTTCACAATTGTTTTTTGTTTGTTTCTTATAGTTTTTTTTTGAAGGCGGAGAAGCATTATCTTCGCCAATTACTTAATATAGGCATTTATGTTAAAACTAATGCAAAAAAGGAATTTTTATACAAAAAATTTCACCATGCAAAATAAAAGTCTCGCCCCTCATTAAATCCGAAAATACACGACTCTGGCAAGAAGTACCCCGAAACTTCCGAAATGATTACATTATTAGTGACAGCATCGAATGTTAACATAACATTTTCTGTTAAATTGCCGAAAGTGAGTTAACTCACTTTGAAAAGTGAGTTAACACACTTTTATACAACAACAAACACATGGGAATTACCGCATTTAAATGCGATGTTTAAATACATTGCGCCCCGCCGAGTTTGGTTTCTAAAATTTTTGTGTTTTCGGTCCACCCTAGGGTGCATATATATATTCTTGCATATTTTATTAACTTGACAATTCAATTCATTACTTTAATTCATTGATACATGCATATCTATGTACTTATGTCTGTACAAGATTGTTCACTTAAATGTAAAAAAATTGCACGCGCAAACCCCTTTGGTTTGTCCAATTAAGGCATTGACTTCTTACGTCACAAATTAGTGTTGATTGATATAAAATTCAGTCAATTAAATGAAGACCATCAGCATCGCTTTATTTTTATACATTTTTTGTTTACATATATACGTATATAGATATCTGTTTGTATATATATATCTATGTATGTATGTATGTTTATCTAATACTTGTACTTTCATTCGAGGACATATTCATTTATAAATACTCGAACAATTAAATTAATAGCGTTCATATTTACTCCAACCACTTTCGATATGTATATATGTAGTAATACACATACACACATTCATATATGTATACATATACACGTATATAATTGTGAATTGCTATAAAAAATATGACTTCCATAGCTGCACGTTTTACTTCCAATTATTGCCAATTACATCTGCATAAAAATAGACAAGATTCTTACAGCCATATATACATACATACATATGTAGATAGATATTCACGAGTATACTCATTGCATACGTATTTATGAATTCCGTTTAACAACGTTCGACAAGCCTCTCAATTTACAAAACCAGAACATTTAACTTAGCAACCAAATGCTGCTCACCATCGCCTCCAATCAGAGCTAGAGACAGGCCCCTCGCGCCAGCACTCGTTCAACCAATTATAAATAAATGCTGGTAGCTAAGCACTAGACACCAAAAACAGTTAACATAAAAGCCTAGCATAGCCTAATGTATAACTGTATGCGAGTACATACATACATCTAATAAGTATGTACATATATAGTTTCCTACAGTTTTTATATATATATACATATGTATGCAAATAGAATGTAAGTGGAAAGTTTGTTGACATGATTTAGTGGTGGCCTTTAAGATAGTTATTACACATGATAAGCTGATATGGCTTATCTGTATTTATTTATGGAAATTTTGTTAATAACAAAACAGTTAATTAATCACGTTTTTGTTTTGGCATATAATAGTTCGCCAGATGTTTTTTTCCCCTTGAACACTGGATGGATTCACTAGATGAAGCTCATTTTAAGCCCCCCCTAAATTATAGGCGATTTTCTTCTGTCTCTTTCACGATCTTAGCAAGTGCCGAACTCGCTATGCGCTGATGAAAGCACTAAAGCACTAAAGCATCGTTTTAAGCTTCGCCACTGGAAATGGTAGTTTATAACCCACACTCCTCCATTGGACCTTATTAAAAATTCGAATTCGGGTCACTACTATTTTCATTGTTTTCTAAAGAATTTCTTTATGTTATCCTAGAAGTTGATACATAGTCGGGTAATGGAAAGTTTGTTCCATCGCCATAGATTGGGCAATCAAATTCGCCAGTTCGTGGTGTTACAATTCCACTGCCATTTAGAAGACTGTAGAAGTAGCAGCGATATACTCTGAACACCAGTCGGTGCGGTCCGGTTAGTGATCCGGTTTTGAATTCTTCTATAAGTCGCTGTCGGGCAGCTTCTCAAGCTCTTCATACTCAACACATTTCGGTCTCCCTTGCTTTTTCTGTCCGCAAATATGACTCGTTATCTTCTTGTACTCTCGGTATCTTTCCCACACGGCGAGCATAGCGGTCGATAGTAGTCTTTTTATACCTTGCTTATAAAAGACAAGTTAAGTTGATTTAACCATGTCCGCCTGCCCACCTATTTGTACACAAGCTTCTTTTTCTTCTTTACAGACGTAGACACCGGCTAAAATTATTGCACCATTCACTCCTTCTTTTTGCAGTTTGTCGCCTATTGATCATACCAAGTAGAGCCACGTCTTTCTATATCTAGTTTTTCCAACGAATTGAAGATCTTTGTCTTCCTCGAAAACTTTCAAAGCGAAAACTCTTAACGTCCACTCATCAGATGTTGTCATCGTCCATTTCTCCTTAACATATAGCAGCACGGGAAGGATGAGAGAGGACTTAACTTTTCAATTACCTACTCAGCCCAAAGTAGAACCTGTTGACAAGGGTGATTCTGCACTGACATTGTTGTTGGTGCTAATAGTGGTTCCGAGATAGACGATGCAAACTAGGACTTCAAAGCTAAAACTGTCAATAGTGATGTGTACTGTTTGTTCTCTGCCAGACTCATATCCTTTGCTTTCTTATCCAGTCACGGCGCGTTTCCTAAAGACAAAAATGTCAATATCATCGGCGTACGCCAGAAGCTGTACACTTTTGTCTGAAGGTACAAACCTTCTCTATTTAGCACCGAAGATGGCTCATTTATGGATTTTTGAGAAACGAAAAACAGGAATATTCTCTTTGAAAGGGAAATCACACAGTGAGACCAAAGAGGCGTGACTCTTCTCCTTCAATTGTTAACGCCCAAAGTTTGTGTGTCGCTCTTTAGATTTTGGTGAGTCACACCCGGAGAATTAGAAAACAAAAGTTAGGTGGGTAAGCCCCATCAACGCCATGGCCAATTTGGTCGAAATATTGTGACTTATTTTTGTTTGCAGATATGAGGAAGAAGAAATGCCTCTTCTAATCGAGGAGAAATTAGATTTAAATTAACGGGTTTTTGACTTCCCGGGGTCTACTTGCAGAAAAAATAGAGAATCTGTATTCTTCGGAAGGTTTAGAGAGGTTCGTGTATTGCTGGAGCAAGCGTATTGAGCTAAATGGAGAGTACGTTGGAAAATATACAACCGATCTTCCGAAATGTTCACTTTTCTTTGGGGAGCCAATCGCTTATTGACCTGCTGTTTGAGTTCGAAATATGTATTGGGCCTTAAATGTCAAGTTCACTGGGGAGTGGAGTATTCACAGCATAGAATTAGAAGAATCTGAATCGCAGACAAGAAGGAGCAGCAGTTTATGTGTAGCAATTACCTTTCGAACGAAAAAGGATTATTTCAAGTCGAAACTTTTTTGAAATAAAATTGAAATTTTGCTTGATTAATAGAAAAGAAAAAATGCTTCTTTCCTAACCCAATATTCTACACCCTGCTTACAGTTTTTAGCCATTTATTTTCAATTTATTTTATTTTTAGTGGTGCCACACACTCACGTCTCGTAATCTGCGATGAAGAGGGTAAATCTTTAGCTCTAGTCTCTGGCCTCGGCACTAATCACTGGATGGTCGGCATACCGGAAGTGGCACGGCGAATAGCCGATATGGTAGAGCGTGCCAAGCAAGAAGCTTGCATTGAACCAGAGATGCCTCTAAAGAGTTTGGGATTGAGTCTGAGCGGCTGCGAACAGGTAAGAAGACACGTTGATTTAGTTATAATTTTTATTTTACAACATATTTTTAGTAATTAAAATTAATTATTTAAATCCATTTCTGATGGCTTTTTTTCTACATTTTTTCAGGAAGCCACAAATCTTGACCTCAAAAATGAGATGCTCACCTCTTTTCCAAATGTTGCTGAAAGCTATGTCGTCTGTAGTGACACAATGGGCAGTGTCTTCACGGCCTCCCCTATAGGTGGCATGGTCGTGATTAGCGGTACGGGTTCAAATGCATTACTACGTAATCCAGATGGTAGTACATTTACCTGTGGTGGCTGGGGGCATTTTATGGGCGATGAGGGTAGTGGTGAGTACAGAAGAGTTTTCAAATGTCTTTACATTCTAACTTCTAAATTTCCTCTTCCCTCTCCTGAGACAGTTTTTAAACTTAATGAATACTAAACTTGCTTGTAGACGCTTTCTACATGATAGTATTACATAGTGTGAGTCAAAATTCCATAGGTAACAAACTTGTTGCTCCTTTGGAGTCTGACCTTGCGACTAGAAGCGACACTGTTCAGCCTTTACCTTCTCCTTTGACATTCGCCGTCTGACCTCTGCTAGTCTAACCAGTTGCTGGCTCGTAAAACCTACAACGGTCTGTTCATGTGGCACTACATCCTTGCGCCTTCCTCATCATATAATCTTAAAGTCGCCAAAATAAATAGTATTAGGTTTTCTAGAGAACTATTTGTGGCAGCCGCAATAGTCGAGTGGTTAGCATTGCGTACTGTTATTCGGAGCCTTCCGGGTTCATATACCGGTGCGACCAACATCAACCAAAAGTTATGGAAAATTAATTTAAATGAAAAATTAAGTTAAATTTTCTAAATGCGGTCGCCCGTCGGCAGGGAATATCCACCCCTCCGAGTGTCTTTTTAATATGAAATTAATGCTTCTCATAACAAAACATCAGCCGTTCGGAGGCAACTTAGAATGAGGGAAATTAGCAAGTGAAGAGGACATCCACAGCATACCATCTAAACAAGTAAAGCAGCTAACAGTCCCAATAATCATTTTTATTAACCACACTTTCATAATAACCCAGCCGTACTATAACTGATTTAATGTCTAAGGACCATAAGCAATCCCAATTGGAGCTCTTAAACATACAAGGTGTGCCAATTAAGTAATGCGACTGATTATATTGCCGCGATTGTGGTAATCCTGCGACCTTGAATGTCCCTTTCCCTTTTCCCGGCATTCTCCTCTCCAGTGATATATTTGCCATCGCTTAGGCTTGTTTAGTTCGCCTGCTGTGTCGTGTTGAGTAAATATGTGTTCGTGGTGCTCGTCACGAAAATGGAAAAACGAAATCAAAAGCAACGCGACGCGATAAAATTTTGCGTCAAATTGGGCGAAACAGCAACGGAAAAGTACGCCAAAATTGTAAAAGTGTATGGTAATAGTGCTCTTAGTCGTGCCCGTGGAAGACGAAACGCGGAGCGGGAGAAAAGCCGAGGTGAGGACTGAAACGAAGGCGCAGCGTGTGGGCGCTCTAATCTCTAAATCGGGGTACGCCCAGACATCGCCCATAACTGAATCCTTCATCACGACAACACGCCGTGCCACGCCGTTCTCAACGTGGCTTTAAAGGGATCGCCGTATTGAAACAACCGCCTTATTCGTTCGATATGTCACCCTGTAACTTTTTTGTTCCCTAGAACAAAATCTGTGGTCAAAGGAACCCATTTTGAGCCGATTGAAGAACATCCAGGCGGCCGTGACGAGGGTGCTCGCGGACATATCAGTCGAAGTGTTCCAGAAATGTTACGAAGCAAGGACAACGCGCTGGAATCTTTGTATAGCTGCCAAATGGGACTACTTTGAAGGGAATGGCAGGGTTGTACAATAATTTTGAAATATACGGTTTTTATATAATCAGTCTCATTATGTAATTGTCACACCTCGTACAAGCTATTGTTCAATGTAATTTCCTGTTGATGGTGTAGCACTACTTTCTCCCCTTTAGATATAAAAATTTATATTTACTGTATTTTTTACAACAAAAATAATTGTTATTATATTTTCTTCCTCACACTTCCAGCCTTCTACATTTCTCATCGCGCATTGAAAATTGTCTTCGATGATATGGACAATTTAAGGAAATCACCATATCCCATCGAGCGCGTCTGGCAAACGATCAAACAACACTTCAATATCGAAACACGCTTCGACCTCCTAACACATTGCTATGCCAAATTCGATAAGCCGTTCTTTGCGAGTCTCTGCAAGAAGCTCGCACATGCCGCCGATCAAGGTGATGAGCTCTCCAAATCCCTTTTCACCGAATCCGGCGCATGTACAGCGCGCAGCATAGCCTCATTGGTGCCCAAAGTACAAGATGCACTGGTGAAAACCGGCGATCTGAATGTGGTGTGTGTGGGTTCGGTATGGCATAGCTGGCATTTGCTGAAGCAGGGCTTCGAGCGGGAAATGTCACAACATGATATACCCTTCAACTTGAAATTGGTTACAATAACAAAGAGTATGGCATATGGCGCTTGTTATCTGGCTGCTGATGCTATTCACTTTAAACTGCCGCGTAATTATCTCGATAACTTTGACGTCATGTATCATTATCGTACAAAACAAAAAACAACAGCAACAACAACAAATGGGCACAGCAATGGCAGTGCAGATAGAATACCACACGTGGAGAGCGTCACAAGCCAAGCTTAGATGTGGGGTATAAGAGAGCAACAGAGAGGGTTCGGAACAAATATAAGTAGGTCTTCAAACATATGTATGTGTATGTATGTACAATAGTATGTAATCATATCGATTAGGTGACTTGATCAAGTGGCGCTGCATTCCATAGTTAAGAGTATACATACAAACACGCGCCGCCTTGTACAGAGGCAGCTATATATATATATCTAAATTTACTGCTTGTAGTTGTAGCTTTAGTCAATAAATAAATAAATTCCATTTTTCTATGAAACTAAATTTCATTTGTTTGTATGTGTGCGTTTTTTTGTTTTTGTCTTTCTACACCTCACCGTTATGATCGTCAGCTTTTGGGCTTTCCACGCTGATCCAACGTCCATTGCTGTTTGCAAATCAAGGTTACAGCGCCATGCCTCCTCCTATATGTATGTAAGTATATACATACATATGTACGTTTGTATGTCCGATAATAAATCAAGGTTTACTACAACAACAACAACAGGTTGCACTTGAAAAACAACGCTCTTCAAACTAAGCATCTGTTATCGCCAACAATATTGTGTACTTAGAAAAGTGATGAGTGCGAACATTTTATTGCAAATACTCGTAAATACTTGTATGTACATATGTACGAGTATAAGTATAAATGGCGTGGGACGTTTGTGGCCGTTTACGGAAATGCGCATACCAAATAAATGAGTCGGCTACGGTGTAAATTGTGTTCGGATAGTAGAGGTTTATAGGGTTCATTGTAAAGGCGCTCGCAGTACGTGCTACATGCAAACGCAGATAGGCACGAAATATATTTCAGTTACTTTTTGAATATGTATTTGTTATACAAAATTCACCCGACGATATACCTCGCCTCCACATTTCACTTTGCCTTTGGCGTTTTTTCCGTTTTTCACTTTGTTTTCATTTGTCTTTTCGAAAAGCGACTCCTCGTTTAGAGGATAATTTTTTTTTTAAAGATGGAAATGTTGTTGTTGTTTTTGTTTTTATGTTTCCCAAAAAAGTTTTTGGGTAATATTGTGGGAGTGACAGTCCTTGACCGTATACAAATCCGGATAGTTCCAGCATAAAGACCCAACCGTCACGATAACTTTTGGATTTCAGTCGCCTCTTACAACAGGTAGGTATGCCTGCGGAAAAATTCCTTAACTCTCATGGCGCAGGAGGAAAATGTGGTACCCGTTGGTGAAAGTAAGCAGAGAAAAGATCAAATACAAAGAGATGTAGTTTCACTTTTCGTCTCCAACCCGCAAAAAGAAAAAAATGTATAGATTGGTTGAGTTGAGGCGGCTTTAATAGCTTAGGCAGTGCCTACTCCAATTAAGAGGAAACAAATGAAATATAAATGTCAGCCAAAACTCATTGAGCGCTTTTTTTTAACGACGAACCCAGCATTACCTACCTACCAGCCAACCGACCAAGGTGCGCGTCTGAGGAATAATCGAAAAATCCAATAGACCGGTGAGCTAAAACCAGTAACCCGAACCGATCGCGGAAGGTCGAGTTGCGGTTACACTTGCCTCTTACACTAAACAGCTAAATATTTGTTCATCTGCTGCGAGTCAGAGGAATCTGTGTTGGTGAAATGTATATTAAATCCTTACAATGAAAAGGGCCTAAAGAGTCTAGATGATCTTAAAGGGATGGCAGAACTAAGCTCGCTAAGTAGGACTGGGCTATTGATAACACCTCCTATCAATTTACGGCTATGGAGTGTAGGCCGATTAATGTGCCGTAAACAACTTTTGTTAGAAGGCAGGTTTTTGTTCGCTTCCCAGTTCCAGTCCTGGTCCGACCAACATCCAAAAATTAAAGAACATTAATTTAAATAAAATTGACATAAAAAAAAAGAACCATCAGCCGTTCGGAGGCGGCTTAGTTTAAAATGTAGGTCCCTTCATTTTGTAGAATAAATATCAAGAGGCACAACGCAAATTGGAGGAGGAGTTCGGCCGAAAATCGCTTCCACAATTACAAAGCGCCCAATACATATATATAATATAAGACTGTACAACTGTATACAGACCCCTGCGAGTCTTGCTCTACTGGAATGAGGTTGGCATTGGCCTCAACAATCGTCAGTTGTTTGTTTTTCTTTCTCCAAATTGATTGAGGGAGCGGAGCTACGGGATCTTATAGTGAACGAGTAGAGGATATTTCTTCAAAATTGTGCATAATTAACTGAGAAGGCAATAGGGAAGAAAAGTCCTTACTCGACACCAAACCATGCGAGAAGGCCAGGAAAATGGGTCAGTCGTCGAATCTGTCTTCTAGGACGGCGTATTCGATCTTGATCTTGATCTTGGTGGTCCTATTCCACATAGACTAGTCACTGGAAGTCATTGTGACATAATATCTCATAGAAATGAGATAAATGTAAATTATTTCGATGTCAAGTCTTCTAAGCCTAATGTAGTTTGGCTAACTGGGTGCTACATTTTTTAATCTCTTAAGGATAAATGAGCGTAGACGCGAATTATGCCGAAAAAATATAAAAACCGATGCCTGTTCTCAGAATCCAAAGAAGCGGTATTGGACAGTTAGTAGCAAATCTCCAGGGACTCCTCCCAAAAAAGGCGTTTTACGGTGACCATTGTGTTTATGAAGTGAATCATCTGAAATGAAAAAATCAAGCTGATTTCGAAACTTTTTTTTTTACAAAATGGCGGCTTCTCAAAAAAAAAATTTTTTTTCTACACAATTTTGGTTTTGAATTGCGCATTAAAAAACTTTTCATCGGTTATCGGGTTTTCAGAATCTCATGTAAAAATTTGAGACTAGTCGGTTCAGCCGTTCTTGAGAAATCTTGGACTTGAAAAACGTAGTTTTGAGAAAAACGAGGCGACACCACCACAGGCTTACCGCTTTCAAATGCTTTGACGTTACAGATGTGCGTGTAGCATACAAAATAAAAGTCGGGTCGTCTTGAAATTTTCAGAGTATTTAGTTAAAAACATATACATTACGAAAATGAAATTAAAAAAAATCGATTTTTTGAAAATTCTAACTATACCATCTGTTTACGCGTGCAACCCTGAGCAGCAGCCATAGCCTCTACCTGGAGATGTCGCTGCTGTCTTCTGTCTTCTGTTCTCGACTAAGTGACTCTTCAAATATATGGGAAAAGTCCAGTTAGTCCAGTTAGTCCCGTTTAGGATTTCCACCTTTTGTGGAAATCTTTAAAAGGCCAATGTTGCCGGCCTGAAGTCCTTCTTTCGATCCAGCAGCCACAGCAGCAACATCTCAGGTGAGAGTATTTGTATATGTTATGTAGGGTTTGCATACATATATACATTTTTTATAAAACCTTTTAATATTTTCTTTAATAAACGCTAATGTTTTGTTATACTAAAAAACCAATGTTTTTATTGAGAGCTTGGCGACAAGCATTTAGATAGGTTTACAGCTTCCTGAAGGATCGGCACCTCCCCCGATCCCCGTTGCCGGAAATCAAGAGGAATTCCGGCCCCTAATTAGCCCCGACANGAATAAATATCAAGAGGCACAACGCAAATTGGAGGAGGAGTTCGGCCGAAAATCGCTTCCACAATTACAAAGCGCCCAATACATATATATAATATAAGACTGTACAACTGTATACAGACCCCTGCGAGTCTTGCTCTACTGGAATGAGGTTGGCATTGGCCTCAACAATCGTCAGTTGTTTGTTTTTCTTTCTCCAAATTGATTGAGGGAGCGGAGCTACGGGATCTTATAGTGAACGAGTAGAGGATATTTCTTCAAAATTGTGCATAATTAACTGAGAAGGCAATAGGGAAGAAAAGTCCTTACTCGACACCAAACCATGCGAGAAGGCCAGGAAAATGGGTCAGTCGTCGAATCTGTCTTCTAGGACGGCGTATTCGATCTTGATCTTGATCTTGGTGGTCCTATTCCACATAGACTAGTCACTGGAAGTCATTGTGACATAATATCTCATAGAAATGAGATAAATGTAAATTATTTCGATGTCAAGTCTTCTAAGCCTAATGTAGTTTGGCTAACTGGGTGCTACATTTTTTAATCTCTTAAGGATAAATGAGCGTAGACGCGAATTATGCCGAAAAAATATAAAAACCGATGCCTGTTCTCAGAATCCAAAGAAGCGGTATTGGACAGTTAGTAGCAAATCTCCAGGGACTCCTCCCAAAAAAGGCGTTTTACGGTGACCATTGTGTTTATGAAGTGAATCATCTGAAATGAAAAAATCAAGCTGATTTCGAAACTTTTTTTTTTACAAAATGGCGGCTTCTCAAAAAAAAAATTTTTTTTCTACACAATTTTGGTTTTGAATTGCGCATTAAAAAACTTTTCATCGGTTATCGGGTTTTCAGAATCTCATGTAAAAATTTGAGACTAGTCGGTTCAGCCGTTCTTGAGAAATCTTGGACTTGAAAAACGTAGTTTTGAGAAAAACGAGGCGACACCACCACAGGCTTACCGCTTTCAAATGCTTTGACGTTACAGATGTGCGTGTAGCATACAAAATAAAAGTCGGGTCGTCTTGAAATTTTCAGAGTATTTAGTTAAAAACATATACATTACGAAAATGAAATTAAAAAAAATCGATTTTTTGAAAATTCTAACTATACCATCTGTTTACGCGTGCAACCCTGAGCAGCAGCCATAGCCTCTACCTGGAGATGTCGCTGCTGTCTTCTGTCTTCTGTTCTCGACTAAGTGACTCTTCAAATATATGGGAAAAGTCCAGTTAGTCCAGTTAGTCCCGTTTAGGATTTCCACCTTTTGTGGAAATCTTTAAAAGGCCAATGTTGCCGGCCTGAAGTCCTTCTTTCGATCCAGCAGCCACAGCAGCAACATCTCAGGTGAGAGTATTTGTATATGTTATGTAGGGTTTGCATACATATATACATTTTTTATAAAACCTTTTAATATTTTCTTTAATAAACGCTAATGTTTTGTTATACTAAAAAACCAATGTTTTTATTGAGAGCTTGGCGACAAGCATTTAGATAGGTTTACAGCTTCCTGAAGGATCGGCACCTCCCCCGATCCCCGTTGCCGGAAATCAAGAGGAATTCCGGCCCCTAATTAGCCCCGACACGAAACACCATCTTTATCCTATAGCTAAAATACATATATACAACATGAAAATTAATTCGCCCAACACTTTCGCTTTGTTAGAAAATGTGTAAAATGTTTATTTCTCAGCATTTTGTTTTGCATACATGGAATAATGATTAGCTTGCTGTCATAGAATGCAATTCGCCTGCGCGTTTTCAATTGGATTTAGTCATCATTTGCACTGCATTAGTAGCAGTTTTAAGCAATTCCATATAAGCGAAAAAAAACTCAAAAATGTTTCTTTTTTACCTGTTTGTTCTTCTTGCGCCTTAACGGTACTACTAAATATTTCTTATAAGGGTGTTTATGTATGTAAATAATCGATTATCATTGTAATTATTGTAAACATTGTTTGCTTTTTAAAGCCAAATACAGTTTTTTGCCGTTTTCTCTGCTTGAGTTTTGTGTAATCTTTGGCCTGTTTTTTTTCTCTTTTCATTTTTTTTTTCACTTTTCTTATGCATAACACGCAATATTGCCAAACATTAGTATAAGTATGTATAAATATGCTATTAAAAAATTCAAATTCAAATGCCTCACAATACTACAGATCATTATTATTAATTATTTTTGTATGTATAAATAAATATTTTTGCAAAATAGTTAAAAAATTTTTAATAATATTCATTCATTGTATGCGAATTTAAATATGTTTTTGATTTGATCGTGAATAATGAATTGAAGTTTATTGCTTATGTTATATAGATAATATTTTAGAGAGTAAGAAAATCTATTGCTTAAAAGAAAAAAAATTATACATTCGAAATGCAATATTTTATAAATTCATTAAAGTTTATGTGTATTTACTTATGTTTATATATGTATGTATGTATGTATGTATGTATGTATGTATGCACGCATATGTACCTAGAATACCATTACAATAAATTTTATAATAATATTAATAGATAAGTGGTTAGAAGTTATTGTTTAAATATATTGTATTTGCTCAATTATTTGTCATACTCTGACGCAATTTGTTTGGATCTTGGTAGTGTGACGAAATCATTGTGGGATGTTGCGGCGGCGGAAAACAGCGTACGTGTTCAACATTCGAACCCTCTCCATCGCCACCTTTGAGATATTTATTGAGTATAGCAAATATTTGTGAATTTAATACTTGAAAGCGGCGTATGCGATCAACCATGCGTTTCAGTTTCTGCAAATAAAATCAATGCGCATGTAAATACAACAATTCAAATACGCTTCCAATGATTTTTTTATTGCCACTTACAATGCCCTTCACATCCTCATCTTTGCCATCGACACGTTGTACGCGTAAAATGTGATAACAAAAGTCTAAAGCCTCAAATCGCCGCTGCTGGCCCAACAACACAATCATAGCACAACCGGCCCAATTTAATCCTTCACCGAAGAGCTCTTCAATTGTATACTCAGTGCCACGTACAGGTATGCAATAGACAAATTGCAAGGCAGACCATAAACGATGGAATTCCGAACATTCATCTACGTGTATGATGCCATTAGCCGGTGGTGGTCCACTCCAAACAGGATCATCCAAATAGCTTTTAATACGATTGAGTATCACTTCGAAAATGCTCAGTCCGCAACAGAGACGTTCGCGTGTGAGTAAATCGCCTTCACGTGCGATCATCGCTTGCTGTGGAGTAAATGAGTGGTTTTTTTACCATAGAACAGTATGAAATTTAAATATATAACGGCTTTTTTGTTTGTTTGTAAAACTCACTTTTGCATTGCCTATTTTCTCTACATTCGATACGATTTGTAAATTAGCAAATTGTGCCTCCAAACGTTTCTGTTTTGCTTCAGGTTTTTCATTTTCTACACAAAAAATATACAAATTTTATTTTTTATAATATCCAAACGTTTGCTACATACAAAATTGCATTTTACCCACCTTTACAAAAGGGACGTGGAAATATATTTTGAAAGAGCGCCGCGTGCAATAAATCACACACCTCTTCTTGTGATAACGCTTGTTCGATAAGCAAGCAGAAAATAATACAATTTCCTAATTCGCGGAAAGATTGGAAAAGATCGGTTTTAGTCTCTGGATACTGTACGATATCGGTTAAATGCGCTTGATAATAACTCAAAACGCCTGGTGAACCATATTCGCAACGTGGTAACTTGCAAGATTTCGGCATTGCACCCATCAAAGTCTTGGTAAATTGCAAAAGTGTGCCTTGTATTTGCAGCTTCACAATATCCTTCAATATAATATCAATGACCACAGCAATACCCTGATAACCGAGCAAGCGACACATCGCATGAAAGTGCGGTGCACCTATGAAGCCTGTATACTGGCCGTATTGTGTCGAGTAAGCGGCATTCAATTGCTTTGATCCCCACAAATAGAAATGTGCCATTTGTGGTGGTTTCTCACGCTGAATCGGTTGAGACGAAGACAAATTTACTTTACTGCGTACAAAACTGAGAGACAAAAAAAGTAGTAATTTAAAAAAGCAAATGCAAAATATAAAGCAAAAATAAACCAACTATTACCGATTTGTGGCGGCATTGTAGCAATAGTTGACCAAAAAGTCATAATTCAATTCCACAAACACATGCAAAGTGATACGCCCGTAGGGTGCTAATACATTGTGATTCGCCTCCTTGACCATGGCATCAAAATTGTCCAACGCCAAATGTTTGCTAAGTAATTTGTGACAAATGCGGTTAGCTTCCAAGAGGCCTTCCAGTTCCTGTGGCATGACAAGCAAGGAAAAATGAAAAAAATTAAAAATTTCAGCAAAATAAAAAGAAATCGGAGAGTAATCTTTTTTTTTTTGTTTCAGTTACAATTTTATACTTACAACAATACCCGTTATGTCGTTGCCTTCAAAGCGACAAATTGCCAATTCAACGCTTTTGTGCATATTCGCATTAATGCGCTGATTTATTAGTTTATTCAAGTCAATGGAGCGACCTGAAATCAGAAATAATTTTTTTTTAATTATTTCAGATACATAAATTTGGATTAAAAAATTGAAAAAAAAAACTAAAAATATATTAAATAAATAAAATTTGAAAAAAAAAGTTTCCAAACAAAATATTTTTCTTCAATTTTTTAGGCACACTAATTTTGCTTGCAAGATTATTACGATTATTTTAATGGTATTTGGAGACCTAAAAATTAAACATTTTCTTAAGAAATGGAAAATAAGTTATTTTAATAATTTTTGTAAAAGAAAAACGCATTATTATCTTTTACACTCACCCAATAATTGCACATGACGCTGCTTCAGCAATGTTTCATAGCGATTATTACGTGGATATGAGTGGAAATTAAAACCCAAAACCTCGCATTCCAAGCGAAAACGTTTATCAAGGAAAATACTGAAAATAAAGAGAAAGTGAATAATGATTCTTGTTTTCATAACTCGTTACATTTACCTGCCCGCCAACTGTTTGTAATGGGCAAAAATCTGCTCGCTTAATTTATAAACAAATTGATCGAAACACAAATTGACCTCTGCTTCTACTTCATCGTAAAGAAATTGTTTGCGAAATACTGTTAAAGCGTAATGTGCCGAGTCGTTGTACAAATCCAATGGGTACAAAACGAATCTAAATAGTAAAAGATGGAACATATATCCTTCTCCCTTTCTCTTCATTTACAATAAGGCAACTACTTACTCCATCATCGAGGGCTCTTTCGTTTGCAATATGTGATCTGTTAATATCCATGGCATAGACATTTCAATGGGAAATTGTATACGCTTTTCCATTGTTATCAAATCTTTACACTCCTCATTGTGTTGATGTTTCACCATACACTTGTTCACCTTGCGGCCCATTGTCATTTCCAAATAGAATTCGCGATACCACAGCTGTGAGAGATCACAGCATTTTTGCAGCGTGTCGCTGAAATTCAGCAGATAACTCCAATAGAATGAGGTTTTGTGAAATGTGTCAATTTGCATAAGGCAATTGCCGTCGATATCTTTGCGTAGCGTGCGCTTGCCACCACTTTTATCGGCGATCAGTGATTCCAACATAGTGCGCACCATATATAATTGTGTGGATGATGGGCCGACATTCAAACGTGGCACTTGTATACGAAAACCACCGTCCGGATCTTTTTTACCCTTCGCAGCCGGATCATCCGAAGGTTCGTGCCCTTTCTGCCAATCAGCAGCTGTCTCGCGCACCGACATAATAATACTACGTATCAAATCCTTTTTATTCTTCACTGCCTTACGCAGTGGCTCACGCAATGTAAGTTGCACAAAGTCCTGCAGTTCAGAATAGATATTTCTTCGTATAGCTTCACATAGTACCGTTTCGATGCGTGCCATTAAAACCTAAAAGAAAAAATAATTATTTACAATGCCAATTTAAATTCAAAACGCAACTAAGCCTCACCTGCAAACCTTTGATCATAGCAATCACTTCTATGAGCGCGAATTTCTCCTCTGAAGTGTAATTATAACGTGTTGCACGTTCATACTCTTCCGCTTCTACTGGACACTCTTTATTCTGATGATGATCTGTTGGATGCAGCAACTTCCAAGAGTATAATTCAGTAACAACACTTGTCCACTCGGAAAGCAATTGCAAACCACGCAATGCTAAATCGGATGTTGCACGATTCTCCGCATCTGTTGGGTTTTCCTTTACTGTGGTAGTCACCTCGTTGGTGTAGCGTGCCAATTCCGAAATATACTTAACATGATCCTCGCGTATTTGTGGTAAATGCACCATTAAATCCGCTTGTGGACTAATTGCATTCGAGCTAGATAGCGGCCATTTGCTAGAGTCGAAATGTTTACTACGTTTTATATAATTGAACGGTGCAATTTGCATGTCGCCAAATAAGGGAACCACTTCTAAGTTTTTGAAAATCCGATCAATACGATCCAAACGTATCTTTTTCTTTTGATCCAATTTATTTATGTTGCATCCATCGCTGTCCATTAGGAACAGACCAAAGCCCATGACCTTTACCAACATGTGCTTCTCTTCGGGCGTCAAATACATTTTCGTTTCAAACATGTGCACACAAATGTTTACCACATCCGACAGTAGGTCTTCGTAGCCCACAATTTTCTCGAGTGTATCTTTAACTGTGTCACGTATTTTATTTTGTGTGGCAAGAAACATGGATAAGTTTTGTGATTCCTGTAATGTGTGTGAATCTGACATAACTTTGAGGAATTGTGCAGCACGACGATATGTACTGTAATCATTTTTAACACTGGATTTCATATTTTTCAATTCATCCAGTACAGCAAACATGTTAATGAATTTTCCTAATGTTAAGAGATAAGCTTCGGACACGAAGTCCTTCCGCTTCTCAGCATGACATAGACGTTTAACTTCGCCCGAAAAGGCTTCGATAGCTTTGCGCTGAAAGAAAAATAAATAAATAACATTTGCAAGCACTTTAACTGAAATTTACTTATTTACCTGAAAATACATAAAATTGAGTAATTTGTTAACTTCCGGTGCCAGCACTTCAACCGTCTTTTCATAAATTTCCACGCGATTTGGTTGCTCGTTGGATTTCGGCTGCGGTATTGCACGCGAGCAGCAGCGCCAAGTGTACAACATGACGGCATGTTTTTGACCCTCATCAAGCAAAACATTCTAAAAATGCATAACAGCACAGATTATGCTAAACAGAAACAAACTATATAGTAAAGCTCTACTACTCACCAAATTAGCATGGGTAGTGGCTTCTTCAATATATTTTGCTATACCCGTAACGAAACCATTGCGATCTTCAAAGTTCGTATCAAAATTTGCTTTGTAGATAATTGAACATGGTTGCGCTTCAATACACGGTTGTTCATCGGGCAGCGAGAGCTCGTCAAGCACCTCCACATTGGATAGCGCATCGGCCAATGTGATCTTTTCCGTCATTATTTAATGTAATTTACACTATAATAAGATTGTAGAAATTAAAAAATTATTATGGTGATGCAAGCAATGAAGCTGTGCTCTTTATATGCAACAACTGCAGTAGTGTAAAAATTCATCGATTGGAAACTGGGCGGGTCTCGCGTCAGCCAACAAAACAAGTGTTTACGTTAATGCAAACTACACTTTTGGATTAATTTTGTTTTGGGCTTTTTACTGAGTACATTGTATACAAAGTGTATAATACACTACACATTTTATTGCACTTTTTAAATATTTTTTATTTAAGTTGAACTCACATTAAATTGTTAAAATTTGTTATTTATTTACACGACTGCCATTTGATGTGTAAGCACAAGCTGATAATTTTTTGACATTCGCAGCACACATTCAGACACACATATGTAATATAATTGTGTCAAATTGGAATTGTCAATAATCTGCCTTTGACGTTGTTCACAGCGCATTTACACTGCACTGAGGAAAACAATGCACTTTCGTAAATTCGATAGATTTTGAAAAACAAAATTTTTCAAGATATTAAATATTTTTTAACCATAATAAGAATTTATTTGAACACAATAGCCGAGGGGTCAGCACGACCATCCTATTCGAACAACATACAAACTATAGAAAATTAATTTTTCTAACTGCGGTCGCCACTGGCAAAATATATCAAGCACCCCCCTTGTATTTCTAATTAATAAGAATTTATTTGAACACAATAGCCGAGGGGTCAGCACGACCATCCTATTCGAACAACATACAAACTATAGAAAATTAATTTTTCTAACTGCGGTCGCCACTGGCAAAATATATCAAGCACCCCCCCTGTATTTCTGATATAAAATAAAAGCTAGTTATATATATGTATGTATATAAATAATTTCATATATAATTTTAAAATCGAAATGCTTTTGATTATCTCGTATCAATGTTGTATTGCTCTGAACATAGCCAGTTTTACGCTCTTACATGTTTATTATACTTTCGAATACTGGCATACTTTTAGGATCTAATTGTCGATTTATCCACTCGTGTTTTTCTCAGCTGCAATAGCTGCAAAAAAACTTTAAACAAGCAACTTGAATATCATTATCCCCACAAATATCCTTTATTTGCAAAAATCGTGAGACTTAATGAAATATCATTTACATATTGAAGCTACTAATTTTAAGTGAATTATAAATTAACTGCTGCATATAAAGGTATAAGTGAAAAATGGCGAAAAATAAAAGTACTGTCTACCTTGGTTTTGAGGATGAGGAAGTTACTAGCAAACATGGCTCTATATTAAATAGTACGGTGAATAAAGTTGGTGGAACACCGGTGAGTACTCCCCTAAGTTGATAGTATTTGTGTTGTTGTTTATACTATACACGAGAATGCAAGTGAAAGTAGTACACACCATGGTAGTAAACTAACATATCTGTATAACTGACACAGCACTTCCGTTCTCCCGCCGCAGGCTCTGCATAGCGACATGATGCGCTGACGCATCCGTTAGATAGTTAATTAAAATTGATTTTTCTATATTAGTAATATTGTACATGTATGTCTCAATACTTTCTTATAATCACAATATAGGATTGGCCTACTGGTGAAATAAAAGTGCCTTCGTGCCCGCTTTGTGGCACAGCACGTCCATTGGTGGTACAACTTTATGCGCCTTTGGAGCAATCAAAGTTTCATCGCACTTTATATGTATTCGCATGTTTAAATCCAGCTTGTTCGCAAAACTCTAAAAGTTGGTTATGTATACGCACACAGCATTTGGATACGCCGAGTGAAGCGGACTTAATTAATGCCGTACCGCCACCATTGACAGCCGGTGGCGCCGGCAGTAAGAAAAAGAAAGGCTATAAGCAAGCATCAAATGTATTGCAACCACAAAAGATTACGTGGTGTAGCGGTGCAGATGACTGGGGTGAAGCTGTTGAGGAAAGTAGTAGCATTACCGCTGAAACCACTGTGGAACGTATGGATACGGGCGCAGATGAGTTGCAACATCAGAATGAAGAGAACGGTAATGTCATTGGTCAAAATGATAATTCACCTATCCGTGGTGCTTACTCACCGCGCTCTGATTTAGGTAATAGCGTAGGTGATGAAGATGATGATGACGAGAGTAATTCCATGGATAACGAACTAGTTTACGGCTTCGAACAAATCGATATGCATTCTCCGCAAAATGCTGTGGAAGACCCTAATGCCAATTGTGCGGCTGACAATGCCGCAGCTGCTGTTGATATGGATGGTGGCGCAATGATGGGTTTCGGTGGTGCTACAGCTACAATTTGTGCTGAAATCGAGGGCGCTGAAACGGACGTAGTGCTAGTGGAAACACCAGTAAAGCCAGAACGTGACTTAATTGCGCTTTTAAAACATACTGCAACTCCGGCTGCACTAGGACCACTCGCCAAAATTTCTGATGTTACCATCAAACCTTTTTTCGTAGCTGTGGATATAGAGCAACGCCATAAACGGGATGAAGTAGAAAGTTATACTGGCGCATTATCGGCAGATCACATACGTGAACTATATCAGGAGTATAAACGGCAGGATGAAGCAGCTCTGTCACCAAACGGCGCTGGGGCAATCGGTGGTGCGATTGGTGCTGCAGGCGATGACCAAGAGGCTTACGAAAAAGCTTTGCCAGCGCATGGTGATATTATTTTCCATCAATTCATTAGTACTATACAAGAAAATCCTGGTCAAATAATAAGGTACGCTGCTTAGAAGTTGTTGTTCATTTAAATAGTTTCAAACGTATGTATATAAAGTCGTTAACACGTTAATTTGTATATGTTTCCAAATTTAGGTACTCACGTGATACACTACCTCTCCTAATGGGTCCACTTTCCGAACCGATCCCAAAGTGCGCGAATTGTAATGGCGAAACCATTTGTGAGGTTCAAATTCTCTCTACACTCATACCAAAATTACGTCTGGAGCAAAACAACGATCCGGTACCCATAGAATACGGGAATGTATTGGTGTTTACTTGTCTAAAATGCTGTTGGGATACCCCAGATAAAATGCGCTATGAACGAGTTATTGTCCAAGCCGAACATTAAGTATGTAAAGGAGCGTAACAATCTGTCGAAAGATAGTTGGGAAGGGCACTAAAGATCCTAGTATCTAGCTGAATGCTTGATGACATTTTATGAATTTTTTTAGAATTAGTTTATATTAAAAACGAACTAAAGTAGCCGTATTTAGGTCGAATATAATTATATTAAAACTATAATGAAAGTTAATTACGAATATGTGTACCTAGATGCGTTGACAAAGTGAAACTACTTCAATTATGAAAACTAAAATTAAAAGCAAATCCTTTACATGCATACTTACATATATAGTCAAACACTATGTCCATGTTGCTATACAACGAACGACGTTGGACCTTTTAACCTAATATAAAAATAATAAAAGCAAACATAAAGCTTATTTACCAGTTGAAAGAAAAAGTTTTAAATTATAACCAGCCGTAAATTGAGTAAAATTATTCAAATTTAGATATTTAAGCAACTATTGGCAGTCAAATAATATACAAAATAGATAATAGGTTTCTCTCAACGAGCTAGTTTTTAGGAATAAAGCGAAGCTTGTCGACTTTTTAGAAATCTATTAACTATAATTTTAATGAAATTGTATAATAAATTTCCATTAGTTTTTCAAAACAATACAATTTACCAATGTTATAACAAATTATTTTATTTTTTGTTTTATATTTTCCAACTAAAAAAGACTTATTATTTAATTTAATACGTTTGTATGTAAGTATAGTAAAGTAATTTAGGATCTATATCTAAGTTTCTAAGCAGTTAAGTGTATGTAGATTATTTATTTTAGTAGTACATATGCATGTATGTATATTATTTATATGCATTCAGTCGTTATTGTTTTTGTAGTTAATTTCTGCTGTAAAATAATTTTATACATGTATTCTATATTCTAGTTGTTTTTTGTGCTCTAAATTACTGCAAATCTGAAAGATTGAATATTTATTATAATTTTTTTTTTAATAATTGAAATAGGTGTAAGAAAATAATTGAATACTGATTGTTCGAGGACTAGTAACGAAAGGATGAAATAAAAGATGAGAAACTGGCGCAAAATGTATTTCATTATGGTCGAAGAGGAAGTCAGATGTGTACAAAAACATTAACCATACGTTACTGTGGGTGACTGTATTATTGTTTAATTGAGCACCATCGAGTCAAGTGAAAATTATTAGTATTGTAACTAAGATGATCTAAGAAAAGGTCAATGTGAATATCTTAAAGTAAGCCAAACACACCATTCAGATCTTTGCTTATTCACACAGAAGCTGAACATATACGAATACGAACCCGAGCATACGTGCACCCAATCGATCGTTATATCCAAATCATACTAATTTTTGTCAATATGTCGGTTATCCCTATCGCGTGAAGTAAATCGAACTTGGCTCTAAGTCTCAATGTTAATCTAAGCAAAAACCACCTCTGGTCCATATCCAGATACAATTTTTTTTGAAATGTTCAGTGCCTGGTCCACTTTGCGAAGATAAGAGTTGTCTTTTTGTTAACTATTGTTTTGAATTTCAAGTAAATCGATTTCTTCCATTAGGTCTGTCCTAGTCCATTACACCAAACAAAATAAAACTCGTATCATCAATCTGTGAAAATTTCAACTCAATCGGTAAATTTTGGAGATTTTCGGATGTTTACAAACGTATGTAACATTTTAATCTACAAAAAAAAAAGATCAAAATAAAATGACTGCTCGTTGCTTGGGACAGTACTTTATTGTTTGTTTGGAATCACCATCACACTTTATTAAATATTAAGCAATTTTATTGTTTATGAAACATCAGTTTATTATATATCTTAAGTTTCAATTATTATATATATGTATGCACAACTGAAAAGGCTTTATTTGTTTAAGTTTATGTCATCTGGTTTAAATTTATTTTTTACTTTTATTTAATTGAAATTTTACAACCGTTGTTCATAAAACCCACGTTACATATACACACATACATTACGTTTATCATATCTATAAATTTGTTAATTACTTTAATAGCTAGCACTAGTTTTTTTTTATCAAGCACATGAACTAAAAAGTACAAAATGAATTCAAATGCAAATGCGCGTTACAACTTAATAAAAAAGATTTATATAAAATTTCGTTGCCCAGCAGATGTGCAAATACGTAAGAAATAACGCTCATCTAAGCGAGGACGCATTCAATTTTTAATCAATAGCATTTTTTATTTAAAAAAAAAATATATGAAACAATTTCCCCTATTTATTACCGTCGTTTACTGGGGTCATATTGCGCCCATTTACGATGATTTAATTTATTAAAATCATCACAATGCAATGCGATATCCTTTAGGTACTTGGAAAGTTTCACCAGCTCTTTGTCCGTATGTCGACTAATATGTGCTTGCCTAAAAGGACGTATACGCAAGCCCGAACGTGGATTCATTAAAAAGTTACGATGTATATCGTCAAACATGATGGTATTCTTGGAACTGTATTGCTTATATTGGCCCCAAATCAGTCCAAGTGGTTTCACATCTACGACACCGCGTTCAATTGTGTAAACTGATATCATGGCAGAAGTGTCTAAATAGAACATTATCTTGTAATTGGGATTTGTGCTTACACCCAATAATTTCATTTTTTCCTCTATCCAACGCATATTAGTTGCCGACCAAATGACAATATCATAATCCTCGTAAGCAGATTCAAGAAATTCATGTAGGTAAGGACGCATTAGTTCTGCTGCAGTTTCCGCAGTCGATCGATGGTCGAATAGAGTATAATCAATATCGAGAACAAGCAGGCGCTTACCTTCTCGTGGTGGATTAAGTTCATTTATTTTATACTCCTTTATACGTCGTTGCACTTTCGATAGGTAAACGGGCGATGTTTCAACTAGATCTTCTTCCTCGGCAACGTCAAAATCATCTATTACTTCAGATATTTCATCAGGCAACTGACATGCCCCCTCTATAGCTGCTTCAGTAGAGCCGACCATCATAAGTTTAAACTTAGGTTTCAACTCCAGTAGGCATATTTTGGTATCATCTGGTGCTACTTGACCTATAATTGTTGTTATGACCGTTATTATTTTTATATAAAGTATGTAACGGCAATATAAAAACATACTTACCTTTATATTTGAGATTCAGTAATTTTTGCCTTTCAGGTCGCACCTGTGTGAGTTTGAAGATTTCATGACGCAGCACAGCTACAGTGTCCTGATCCGTTAAATCTGTTACTGTATACTCTTTGCCACCCCATTTTACAATGATGGGAACTTGGTGTATTTCAATAATTCCTTGGGAAGTTGAAGTTGAAGGTTCTGACTCGGATGCCATTGCGAAGTAAAAATTTATACGAATTCAGTGCACCGGGTAGAAAAACAAATTCACAACAGAAGATGTAAAGCAACAAATAGGGTTGCCGTTATTTACACATTTTATAAAACTGTGCCTGTAGGACATTTTGTAGGCATTACAGTTAACTTTCAATATATTATTATGCATATTTATTTTTATAATTGCGACTATGTTACCAATGAAGCGATTTCAGATCGCGCTCCTCCTGTGCTTTCCGGTGAGCGTCGTGATGTTTTTTCCAACAAATGGCGTGACAATTCAGAAAGGTTGAAAGATTTATGACGAGCTTTTATTTCATATTGAAATACGCTCGGAGGAAGATATTTCTTGATAAAGGGCGATAGCAATCAAGAAAATGATTTTAAAATAAAATTTCTATAATTTTGATTAATAAAATTCGTGACTCTCCTAGTGATAATACTCAATGCTAACCACTCGGATGATGCGGCTACCAATATTATTAATATATAACATTACAACTTACAAAATAGTAAATTAAATGTGATTTATTTTCTATTAGTAAATATTTAATAAAGCAGATAATTCAAAACGCTTTACTAAATCGTTTATTTGAAGATCCCTATAATAATTAGTTTCATCTAAAGAAAACTATAAAGCTGTACCTCACCTAACCCTCAGCTACGTGACTAAATATACACTTCTGGACTAATTGCTTCCACCAATTTTTTTCCAATTTTGCAAAACTAATATTATTTAACATATAACGCTTACCTGATTTTAAAATGGTTTATATATTTTAAAGATTTCAAAAAAAAAAACACAAAAAATTATTTAATGAAGACTTGCATGCGTTGACAGTTAATGACAGTTTTAATTTGTTAAAATATTTAGAATTCCCCCAAAAGTGTAAACATTGCCGGCTCTTGGTCGAGCACTCGGTCTCATCAGCTGTTGGCTATATTGTCAACGTCAATAAGTTTGTTATTTTGTTTTGATAAATTCCAATAGCGTAATTTGACGTAATCGGACCATAAAAAAGTAAAAATTGATTGCAATGGATACTGTAGTAACCGTGGAGCAGTTTACCGCCTGTAAAATGCAAATGCAACAATTATAAAGTGTGGGAAACCTGAAGAATACAAACACGAAGTCCTGACAAATAAAAAAGTGGAAGGGATAGCGCCGAAAACGAGTACTCGTAAATGTGTGTACCACCTTGTGAAAAGTGAAAATGCGCATTTGGTAAGCGCAATAGAAATGAACTGAAAATTGTCTCAGAAACATATTTTGCTAGGAAAACTCTTAAAAACTGACTTTAATAATATCATAAATGTATTAAAATAGTGTAATTTTCGAGAAGTGCATATTTCCAATCCGACAAACGTAAAGTGAATTGGAAAAAAAAAATTGAAAACCTACGCACTTATTGTATTTGATAGCAAAGTACTCTGTAAATTTTAACCTTGACATTGAGTACTACCTGCCTATGATGGCCAATTGTTTCGTGATTACACCTAAAGTAACGCCGGTTTTTTATCTCGCCACCGTCAAGCTCTCCAGCGTAACAGCTATAGTAGCCGCTTGCCAAAAAACACAATTCAAGTTGAAGTCTCGCCGCCTCCTGGTGTCCGCCGTGTGCCAACAATACTCGCGTCCCTTCATTATACGATACAGTGACCGTGAACTAGCCGAACACGCCTAAATTGGCAGTGTATATCCCGTCATACCATTTAAATTCCAGAAAAGTTATAAAGTACTAAGAAAATATTAAAATAAAGCAGTGTAACAACACTATTTGTAGCTGTATTGTTGGCGTAATAATTTCACAAGTGTTGACCGTAAGCGTGTTGATTGTTTGTTTTATCATTTTTGCGGGCAACGATAAGGTTAGTAGAACTTATAATTATGACATTATTCTGCTACATAGCTAATGTATTGCTAAGCGGTGTCTTATTACATTCTCTGAAATAACTTCCAAACTTTCTCTTAGGTATAGTCATGTCAACGCCGACACCGGCTTTATTACTTAGTGGAGAGGATGAGGCTGTAAGCCAACAATCTGTGTCAATATCTCAACCGACAGCTGAAGTTGTAGTTATGGATTCTCCCTTACAAACATATACCACTGACATACGGTCAGAACTGGAAGAGTTTCGCGAAAATTGGCATCGAGAATTGAAGAGCCAAAGTGAAACAGGAACACCGACACGAAACTTGGAGCACAATCAACAACCAGTAAATGCTTCGAATAATGTGACCGAAGTTGATCAAAATGAGTTGGCTGAAAATCTATTCCGCAGTGCCGTAGAGCTTGAACAGCGAGGCAAGGTTTATGATGCGTTGCCACTCTATCGCAAAGCCGTGCAAATTGTACCAGATATTGAATTCAAATTTTATGAATTACAAAAGGTTAAAACAACAAACAATTATACTGAAGGAACCAATTTGTTTGAAACTGTTGAGACAAAGCAAACCCTAGAGGAATGTTCAAATACTGATGAGATTATTGAAGATTTATATGAGAAATTTCAGCTGGATTTGGCAAGAGACGGCGGTCGTTTACTACACAGCAGTCGAGATGACGGTGTGATTACTACAGAAACACATATTTCCGAATTGCCACCCGAAATACTTTTGTACATCCTGCGTTGGGTTATATCGGCGCAATTAGATATGCATTCCCTGGAGCAATGCGCATCTGTTTGCAAGGGTCTCTATTTGTGCACACGTGATGAGGAGTTGTGGCGTTTAGCATGCGCAAAGTAAGTTTAGATATATATATGATTTGTATAAAACTATTATAAAAGTTCTATATTATTTGCAGAGTATGGGGCGCTAATCTTGGTAATTTAGGTGAACCAATTAGTCGACCCGCTGATACTTTAATCGAGTCTGCAGATACAACTCCAATCGTCTATACTTCCTGGCGTCAAATGTTTATCATGCGTGAACGTGTCATCTTCAATGGCTGCTACATAAGCAAGACTACTTATTTGCGTATGGGCGAGAATAGTTTCCAAGATCAATATTATCGGCCTGTACAGCTAGTAGAATATTATCGTTATGTACGATTTTTGGGCGATGGACGTGTGCTAATGATGACCAGTGCCGATGAGCCTGCACAAGGTGTTAATAAGCTGAAAAATATTCATCAGTTACGACCAGACGTGTTGTGTGGTCATTACCGTCTGTATGGTGACACTATAACCATTATGTTAAAGAAGCAACAACAACAACAATCGCTTAGTCATCATCAGTATGCACGGCAACGACGTGGTAGCTCGGCTATATTCAATGAGGAGCCGAATTGTACAAAATATTGCATTGAATTTCGTATAACTAATACGACAAAGCGAAAGTATGCACGTTTAATCTGGACGAACTATTGTGTGGAGCAGAGACGCAATAAAGTTGAGACCTCATCCCAGTTTGAGCTCACCCCATCAAAGTATCCGCCTTTGTGGTTCTCCCTCGTGCGAAGTTACCACAAGGATACCGATGCACCGCTCTCTTAATATGATTAGGAAAATAGCTGTGCCCTGAGGTGCGTGCGAGTTTAAAAAGGAAGTTGAAAAAGAGAATTAAGAATAAAATATACTTTTCTAAAAAGAAGAATGAAAAAACTACAGCTGAAAATGATCGATATACAAATGGAAACCACTGCAGGAGTAAAATGGTTGCTATAAATATACTAATTATCTAACTATATTCTTTATTATACATACATACACACAAACTCTTATTGTAGAGGCTAACACTTAAAGCTTGAAATTTGGATTTTTTCTAATGTTAAGTACATATATAAATGGCTGTAAAGGCTCGGATTTTAATTTCCTATTTTCAATTGGCTGTTGATATAGTAAATATCAGAGTAAAAAAATAAACGGTCAGAATTCAACTTCTTTATGAATTATCTTAAATTAATTTTTTTTCTTGTATTTTGCAAACTACATTTCATATTTTCAATTTACAATCAAATACATAAATGATTTGTTCATTAAAATTAATTCCCAAATCAAAGCGTGTAACCCCCCTGATCCGCCCAATGTACGCGCCGACTTTCTAGGTAGTCTAAGCTTTCTTTGATTTTACGATGCTCCTCGTCCATCATAGCCAAACGTTTGTACTTTTGTATGACGTAGCAGCAACTGAACATGAGCGCTACTTGGAAAATTAACCAAAAAATAAGCAATGCTATGAGAAGGCTCTGATTCAAGCAAAAACTATCCAACTGCATCCGGTCTAGAATTTATAGAAATAATATAAATAGAATTCAAAAATTGAGCGCATTGTGTACAAACCAATGCCGGCAATTAATAGGATGCCACGCTCGCCATATATAAAACTGTTACTGTTGACCTGATCGGGACCACGTACGTTTAAATTATAATTCAACGGCAACACACCTAAATCCTGCATTGTTATATTTTCCATTTTTAAATCACGTGTCAAATTTAAATCTTCCAATTGCTCTTCCACCACATCCACCACAGTTGAGACATAAACAGGATTTTGTACTTTGAAGCGTGTAGCAGGTGGTAAACCTGGCTCCTCTTCTCGTGTGGTTCGTGGAAGAACCTGGCGCCGCTGTCTTAGAGCACGTTTCTTACGATCGGTTACAGCATTACTCAAATTATCCTCTTCTTTAGTGTTACCGTGAGGATAACAATTATCCTCCGGACAACGTTGCATACAAAATCGTATTTTTACATCAAAATTTACCAATGACGAGCCCGCAAATTTAAAAGCATGAAAACGTGCACGTAATTTATTTTGTGTAGTAGAACGTACACGCTCCAACGTAGGAAATACTGTTACATCAATGGGGCAGCCATGTTCGTCAATGAGTTTAACGAAATTTTTATTATCTTGCGTTTTCGCAATTAACGAAGTCGCACGGAAATCCGGCAATGGTGGCAGTGCATAGTTGACCAACTGTTGTTGGTGTGGTGAGTATTCAGCTATGATTTGTAATTCTAGATTTTGCCCTATTTGTACGTCGTTTGTTTCGTGTTGATGTGATATATCTATTATCTGTAGTGTGACTTTTGGTAGTAGTGGTACATCAGTGCTGTTGAAAAGTAGTGAACCCTCATTGGGCAACATACTGTCAAAAAGATATGAAAGAAACATTAGTTTTATAGTACAAATAAGTAAATGAATATATGTATGTTTGCGCTCAGATTTGAGTAGTAGATATTTTGACAGCAATCCTTTTTTGTTGTTCAAGCTTTAGATTTCAACTGAATAGTTTAGATTCTAAATTCAGAAGTGGAATATATTCGGTAGATCTTTTTATGAATCATCGGTAAAGATGCACAAGAGTAAGTCTCACTAAAGCAACTGTCGATATTTACGTATACATAGCTAATAGAGCTCTCACGAAAAAGCATCTTCAAACATTTCCATTATTTTAAGTAAGCTGGCTAATTTATTTATTTTGAGAACTATTAACTATACGAGGTGTGTTCAAAAAATATCGCGAATTTTGTGTTTTCAAAAATTATTTATTTATTCATGAATATCTTTTTTTCCCTTTCAAAGTAATCCCCATGAGATATTATATTATACACTTGTGCCAACGGTTTTTCCAATCTTCGAAGCACTTCAAAAAATCATTTTTTTATTTTGTTCAGCTCCTCCTTCGATGCCGTCTTCATCTCAATCGTAGCGTAATGTCGTCCTTTCATGGGCCTCTTCAGTTTAGGGAACAAGAAAAAGTCACAGGGGGCCAGATATGGGGAATACGGTGGCTGCGGCATCATTAGTGTGTTGGTTTTGGCTAAAAAGTCGCGCACAAGCAACGATGTGTGAGCAGGGGCGTTATCGTGGTACAAAAGCCAATTTTTGTTCTTCCACAAATCCGGGCGTTTCTGGCGGTTTGTTTCTCGCAACTTGCAGGTAATATTCCTTATTGACCGTTCTACCCTGTGGCAAGAACTCATGATGCACCACGCCTCTGCAATTAATTTTTTCGTCTCTTGTTGAAGTGCTTGGGCGTCCGGCACGCTCTTCGTCGTTAGCATCTTCTCGGTCTTTTGATAACATTTTGTACCACCGATAAACGTTGCTTCGGTCCAAGGTAGCTTCTCCGTATGCCACAGTCAACATTCGGAATGCATCCGCGCACTTAATTTCGTTTTTCACACAACATTTGATACAGGTTCTTTGATCCATTTTTTTGAATAGGTAAAAATCGAAAACCATCCAAAACACGTGCAAGCAAAGCAGCTGTCAACACTTAAGTGAACATTCAAAATGGTCGAGCTTGTCGGCATAAGTGACAGACATTAGTACCAACATAACGCCACAAAAAAATCGAAATTCGATTATATGTAACCCGCGAAAACTCAAAATACCCGATACTTTTTGAACACATCTCGTACATTTAAAAATTCTATTTAATTTATCGCTTACGCGCATGTTTAAAAACTCTATGTTATTTATTTAAAATATTCTTAATTTACACTTACTGCTGCGCAAATTCTAATGAAGATTCCAAAGCTATGGCATTAGGTATATCTTCACCCGCCGTTTCAACCTCATCATTACGCCCATCATCGCTAACATCTTTGCGCATTGTCGAATTACTCATTATGCAACCGACCTTAATGAGTCGATCACCTTGAGTTTGAACATTCGGATTGTTTTGTATAACAACCAGTGCCGATATGAAAATTCTATAATGTAAAATTACAAAAATAAGGTAATTTCCAAAATTATTACTTTGCTGATTGGCTGATCGTTGAAGCGAATACACTTACCTTTGATATGCTTTAGTGACTTCGTACGCACGCAATACGCCGCAACGATTTTCTTTGACCTCGGTGCCGATCGGCAGGCGTAACACAGTGCTTCTTGTACCATTGCCCTGCACCATGCAATGATTCGAATGCATACTTACATACATTTTGCCGTGAAACCAATCTTTCGGCGTATACTTGATGGCCATTTCATCTTGTGTACATATCACCTGGACTGTAGGGTATTGTTGATGATGAATTTCAATAAATGAAAAATACATTTGTTTTTATTACCATCTAAACATTTCACGCGCCGCATGTAAACAGATTTCTCGCGTTGTTTTAAACTACGTGGCCCCATTGATATTATATCCTCAGAGTGTAGTAGGCATTCTGAATTGCTAAGATCATGCTCAAAGAAGAAGGATACACCTTGGCAATAAAACTTTGTCTCATGTGAACAATATGATTGGCACTTAAAGGAGAAATGTAATGAGTTTGTTAATAAATGGTCTAGAAAATTAAAAAAAAAAAAACTTGAAGCAATGTACATTATTACTCGCTTTAACCAATTTTTATTTGGATCAAATTTATCCAAATGTATTTTATGTTATTCTCTTATAAAAAAATCCATTGATCCATTCAAACACACATATATTATATATGTACATGAAACGCCTGACACACCTCTTTTTGCGTTAAACCCAAATATTTTGCTTCCGCATAAATAAAGCTACTGTTCCCATACAATTCGTATGAACAGTTATCTTTTTCGATCGGTCGCTCGTAACATTGATTTTCCATGTATTCTTCATCGTAGGGTGCAGCCCGGAAAGCATCTGGTTGTATCATTTTATCTTTATCACTGAGTATACAACGTCCTAATGTATTGTGCTGCGATTGTTGCTGTTCTTGATTGTTTTGCTGCTCTGTTGATAAATGGTGACTGAATCTGTGTGAAAAAAGGCGGAAAAAACTACATTATTCACGTGATGCAACGCTGATTTGTGGCATTAGTGTAATACAATTTGATACATAAAATATATTTGCGTTTAACAATAAATTATTCTGCATTTTTCATGTACCTTATGCATGTATGTATGTAGATAATTTTTCAGTCATTAAAAAATGTCACAACACACCCATCATAATCAAGCGATTACGAGAATACTCAAACTGAAAAATGTTTAAAATATAATTCCTACACATCACATATGTACATATATGATTGGCGCTTTGTAGCCGCTGCAGCCAATTGCGGCTCTCTCTCTCTGATTTGCGGTGAGCGTCTTGGTGTTTTTTTTTTTTCAACAAATGTAGGAACTTACAGTTTATATGTACTAAGCCGCATACGAACGTCCGTCGGATAATTCATGTCAAAAACATACTAGAAGAAATTGACATTCCATGTCGAGAGGCGATCACAATTAGAAAAATTTATATTTAATATTATTGGATGCTCGTCGAGCCACGATGCGAAATGGTAGTACGCACTGCTAACCACTCGGCTATTGCGGCCTTCTACACCCTGGTAAATGTGTGTTGTCCTCTCCCCCCATTTCTAGGGTATAATCGGGTGCTTGGAAAGTAATTTCTCAAGCTTACCTCAGCTGTTTTTTCTGACTTGTTGCAGAAGTTCTTCCGGGACTTCCTCTTGGCTTTGTGAATTTCTTTTTTTGTATTCTTTATGTACATTTTTTCCCCCATCCAACAGAACTCATCTTGAGCAATTTGAAGAGTTCTCAAACACTGCGTCTAAGTGATCCGCTATGACTTCAAGCCACGTTTGGCATTTAGCTGAGAAATTTGCTTGAAATCCCACATACTTTTGGTCAGAGAAAGAGAGTGCATTAAGCTCCCCTCAATTTTCTACTCTGTTTACTTTAGTAGAGAATTTAATTTATTTTTTGTTTATTTTATTAAATTCATTATTATTTTTTTTACTTTATTTAATTTAATTTGTTTTTTATTTTATTTTAGTTTAGTTTATTTCATTTAATTTGATTTTTTTACTTTATTTAGTTTATTACTATTGTTATTATTTTTTATTTTACTTTATTTAATTTAATTTAATGGCTTTTCATTTTATTTTATTTCTTTTTATTTTCTTTTAGTTTATTTTATTTTAACATATTTATTTTATTTTGTTTTGTTTCATTTAAATATAGTTTATTATTATTTTTAATTTTTCTTTATTTAATTTAATTTAATGTCTTTTCATTTTATTTGTTTATATTATTTTATTGAGTTTAATTTTTTTATTTCATTGAATTTTGCTTTATTTTATTTCGTTTATTTATTTAATTTAATTTAATTTTATTTTGTTTTGCTTTATTTTATTTTGTTTTATTTTTAGTTATTTTATCAGGCGTACAGCTTTGCTTCCGCCTTTTTTTCCCAAAATTAAAAGTTTTATTGCGAAAAAGTGCTAACAGATATATTATTCAAAGTATAGTCCTTCGCTAGCGACTACTTTCTCCCATCTTTCCGGCAATTTTCGGATCCCGGTTCGAAAAAAGGAGTCCTTTTTTGACGCTATCCATGAAGCAATACATTTTTCCAATTCTTCGAAGGATTGAAAATGTTGATCTGCCAGGCCGTGTGCCATTGAACGAAATAGGTGAAAGTCAGAAGGGGCGACATCTGGGGAATACGACGGGTGGGACAAGACTTCCCATTTCAGCGTTTCCAGGTACTTTTTGACCACTTTTGCGACGTGAGGCCGAGCATTGTCGTGTTGGAGGATGACTTTGTCATGTCGCGCTTGATATTGTGGACGCTTTTCTTTTAGCGCGCGACTAAGGCGCATCAGTTGCGTTCGGTAGCGATCTCTTGTGATGGTTTCGTAAAATCACACCGAGCTGATCCCACCAAATACAAATCATAACCTTGGCGCCGTGAATATTCGTTGAAACCACTCCCGACACGTTCTTTCACTCAGAGCAGCATCACCGTAAGTTTCTGAGAACATTCGAAGCGCTTTAGCTGCGTTTGTTTTTTGGCGAGAATTAGGCACACAAACGGACATTTTCGAGCGTGAATAATACGAAAACAAGAACAACTGTCACTGAAACGGCGATGACAATTCGTTAGGCACTGTCCACACTCACTTTAAAGTCATTATCATTTATGTACAATATTTCAACCAGCCTCAGCCGGAAAACGGTGGAAGCAAAGTTGTACACCTGATATTATATGTTATTATAAATTATTTTATTGAATTTGATTTTTTTATTTCGTTGTATTTTATTCATTTTATTTTCTTTTGCTTTATTCTACTTTATTTTATTGAATTTAATTTTTTTATTTCGTTGATTTTTGTTTTATTTCGTTTCGTTTTTTTATTTTATTTTATTTAATTTTGTTTTGCATTATTTTATTTTATTTGGTTTTATTTTTTATTTCATTGAATTTTGTTTTATTTTATTGAATATTTTTTCTTTCATTGAATTTAATTTAATTTTATTTTGTTCTACATTATTTTATTTCATTTTTTTCATTTTGTTTATTATACGTTATTTTTTTTTTTTTAATTAATTTAATTTAATTTAATTGAATTGAATTAAATTGAATTGAATTGAATTGAACTGAATTGAATTTAATTTAATTTTATTTCATTTTATTCTATTCTCTTTTATTTAATTTAATTTATTTTTATTTAATTTAATTTAATTTAATTTAATTTTATTTTAGCTTACTTAATATTAGGTATTAAATTTTATTTTATGTTTTTAATTTATATTATTTTATTTATATAAAATCTTTTATTTTATTTTATTTGGTTGTATTTAATTTTATTTTACTATATTTTTCATTTTATTTTATTTCCGTTTTGTATTTTTGTTTTTTCATGATATTTTATTTTATTGAAATTTTTTTATAAGATTTTATATAATTTTTTTTTTTTAATTTTATTTCACTTTATTTTCGGTATTTTTTAATTTCATTTCGTTTTACTTTATTCTTCATTTTGTTTTATTTTATTTTATTTCATTTTATTTTTTTTTAATTATTATTTAATTTGTTTTTTTTTTTTAATTTAATTTTTTTTTTATTTTTTCGTTAGTTTAGGATCTCTGATTTCTATCAGTTATTGAGAAGCAGAAGAGCCATGAATAGCATTAAATATTTAACGAGTAATTTACAATAATTAACTTTACTTGAATTCTTTTGTATGTAGTTTTAGAAAATCAGAATCAGAAGATCTCAGTTTTTGTTTTTAAGGAAGTGACTCACAGATCGTTAGTTTTTTAAGTAGCAAAAAAAAAAAAAATTAAAAATATATAATTAAATAAAATAACACACACTTCTATTTAAGCGGAAAATGCATAGCCCATATTAGAGTTTAAGTGCTAAAGTTGTTGTAGGAAATAGAATAAAAACGAGAACCCTTTCATGTATTTAAAAGCTCAAACATAACATACTAATGTGATGAGGTCAAAACTGAAACAAATTCGCCGACGTGACATCACTTGACTATTAAATCGAAATAAATTTAGCTTGTGATGATCTGAGTGGGCGTTGGGAGGCAAAGTTAATGATAAAAAACGTCATTGGCAATTGAAATTCAAAAAAAAAACGTGAGGAGTACTTTAATTAACTTCGGTATACTCGTATCTATGTAATGTTTGTATGTATAGTTATTGGGAAATACAAATATGCATAATTTAAATTTATAATTCGCAACATTTTTAAAATAATTTATCAATTTGAAAAATAAATAATAGACGGCTCAGCGCTCAGTGACTACTGAAGATGAGCAACTATTTGCACATAATTATTTTTTCCATTATATTTTTCTTAATAAATGCAACGAAGCAAAACAATACCCATAAAATGAGAAACAACAGAATTGCAAGCGCACATAATTTGCTGCGTTGAATTCACAGAAGGCATTTAGAAATTCAAATAGCGCATTATTCGTATTAAATAACCGCTAAAAACAGCCAACTAATTGTGTTTGCAATGAGCTCATACAATTCATAAATACACTACAACAGTAGCGTTGCGTCGCGAAAGAATACGAAAAAAAAAACAGCAACCGCCAATAAAGCCATAGAACTCATCTATGGAATTTGATTCCGTATTGTTTTGATTTCATTGGTATTTACTTATGAATCTCCCCCCAATAACTTAAACGCCCAACCACCCATCACTCTCACACGCATACATACACACATAACTAATTGTACTCACCTTTCGCGATTATTGCGATACGAAGGCGCAAATGATGCGGACAGACATTTGAATTCGCTTTCGAAGAGACAACGCTCGGCACATTCACGTCGCGTGACCAACGTTGCTATTGTTTTCTTTCCCTGAAATACCAAACTCGTACCGGGAATTTTCGTTAGCGTCCACTTGCGTTGCTTACACACCTCGGGCACTGCGAAAAAGTAAAGAAAAAAAACAGAAAATACCAAAAATAATGTAAACATTTGATTTTGAAGTTATCAATTTTGTTTTGTTTTGGTTTTTCAAATTTAATAAATAAAATTACTTTCACTCATTAATTTACCCACTCACCCTTTAGACAGGTCTTCTCATAGAATACCGCCTCGGCATCTGCCACCAATGGCAGTTCATTGGCTATCGCTTGATAGCGTGGCGTACGCTCGAAATACGTATAGCCATAACATTCGTTTGTGTCCAACAAATGGACATAGGCAATGCAATCGCTATCCTCATTACATATCCGCCAGCAAAAAGCGCTCGCTGTTTCGCTCGCTATTGTCAACTCCTGACTTGGGCCATCTGTCGCGCCCAATATCGTATAACTTTCGCGCCTGTAGCGATTGCGATCTTTGAAATTATAAGCTGGTGAATAGATGAGATTTTGTTCGCTTAGATACTCCAAGGGCGGCCGGAAGCCAACAATTTTCTGTAGATGCATTTGATAGAGAGGACATTTGAGTAGGAGGGCATCTGAAAAGAGCAACGGTGTGAGTCTATTTATTTGTTTGTGCATACGAGTATGATAAATAATAATTTGTATAGTAGTTGGGGAAAGCTTTAAGTTTTTTTGTTAAGTTTATAAGTATATATATAAAGGATTCATCATTTTGCTGCTTAGAAAACTAACGTACATATTTAAAATATTTTTTTTCTATGAAATTCATTTTTAATCATAAAGTTTGAGCCTTGGCGCTGTATGTGTGAAACTCTAAACCATTCAAACTCCCGCCGGGCGGATTTTTCAATCCGTTCGACGTAATTTTCAACAACTTTTTGGCATATATCGACGAGTTTTGATTTCCGAGAGCTCAAGAGTTGAATGTTTATCTCCATAAACGCGGTCTTTCATGTAGCCCCACAAAAAAGTCAAATGGTGTCAACTCGTACGATCTCGTTAGCCAATTAACATCATCAAGACCAGAAATTGCTCATCCTAGAAATTTCTCTCGCATATTCGCTCGTGTTATGGGGCATGTGACACTACCTTTTTTGAAACCTCATATTGTCCAAGTCGTGTTTTTCAATCACTGGATAAAAAAAGAAGCTGGTTGTCAAGCGACCATAATGCTGCGAATTGACAGTACTGTCTTGCCGTTGCCGTTTTCAAAGAAATAACCTACGGACCAAACTGTAAGTTTCTTTGGTGTAATGGCCTCTCTTTAATTGTTTGAGAATTCTTGAAAAAACGCGGTTCAGTACATGTTGTCCAAGGACACAATCGGCGTTGTTGTTGTGCGAGCTAGACTTTAAACGAATGTTGGATAATGTGCCGTTAGAAAATCCGAGCTCTACAGAATGCCGAGAAATAAATACATTTCGGCTACGATTTCCCTTACAGTAGCAGCATATGACGCGGAAAGAGCGAAACTACGATCCACAGGCCTTATAATATATGTAACCGAACCAGTCTCATTAAATTTCTTTAACATTTTACTAATTGCTTGAGTAGTTGGACGGTTATGTGCACCATAATCTCCTCTCAAAGCACGAACCGGGCTATCACGGTTGAATCACCAATTCTGTTGTAGGTTTTTAACAATTTCAAAGCGGTTTGCGGTTGTTAAGTGATCTATTTTTATAACTTTTAACTAAAACAAAACATGTTTGGTTTCACAGTCAAGTATGCCAGAAGAGAAAATATAACCCTGTACTATTCAAATTTCGAAATGAATATCCCTTTGTACAACTAAAGCACTTAAGTCTAATTATAAATTTCTTTTGCATAGCTGAAAGCTTTAAGCTTTAAGTTTCAAAATTTTCTCTAAATCAAATATGAAGGCGAAAATGATTCTGTTGGTTAATTGCTCTTCTGCTTAAGATTAAAACTCATTCAGCCCTATTCAGCATTTCTCCGCTCCGTTACAGCCGTAGTTATGTATTCTGAGTTACAATCGGATCGAAAGAAGAAAAGCAGGAGAGAAGATATTTTCGAAATCAGCTGTGAGATTGAAGCACAACAAAGCTGTTTGTTTACAATGTGATTTTGCATAAATTAAATAAATATAAATAAAACTTCTTCTTTTTAAAAATATAATCAAAACAAATTTTTTGATATTTGTTTTCTATTTAGTTGACATAATATAGTACATTTCACAAATAAACAATTCTTAAATATTTTTATTACGGTATTCATTTTACATAGACGAAATACCAATAAAAGTAAATATATCAACAAAAATAAAGAAAAAATAATACAAAAAAAAAATATGTTTAGGCTGGCAATTTCGGCCCAACCTGAGCATCGGCAGCTTAATCTCAATTTTCTCCCTAAGCAATTCCTCCTTTATTTGGTTGTGTTTTTTCTGCTCCTGCAGCGAATGCAGTATTCGCCATATTCTTTAAAGAGCAATTCATGCCTCGCAACCTGGGAGACAGCTTCATTATGTCGTCTGCTTTCTTCATAAAACTGTTTTTGCAGAGCTATTTGTTCCCTGCCGTTAGTTTTAAAAGCTAATTTCCAGTATTACCTTACCTTTCTCGGTGTATTGGAGTCTTTTGATGGTGAACCAAGTGTTTTTAGGGCATTTGCAACATCCTTCCTAAATGCTTTCCCTTTTTTTTCTGGCACGTACGTGCTATTGCTCGTCCTAAACAGAAAGTAGAAAATATTGCTGCTGCAGCTCCGTTCGTAAGAGGTCGCAGATCATTCGGCAGCAGAACACTTTCTTGGGCACTTTTAACGAAAAACTATATTTTCCAATGAAGCTCATTTTCATTTCCGCGGCTACGTTAACAAGAACAACTTTGGCCCTGGTATCTATGGAAAAGCCGATTTGGATTTGTTGAATTAAATTTCGTATGAAAACGTTAAAGATACACGTTACACCATTTATCTAGAGACAATTCATGAGACTTCACCACCATTGCAGCCATAGAGAGCCACAAAATCGAAAGTGTGTCGAATTAATTCAATAGACAGAACAGAGTGGGCTACTATGGGCCAGCCGCAACAGCTATGTTATGGACAGAATGTTCCATCATTAACTGGATCATTGAGACATTTCAAGAAATACGAAGCTATTGAAAAATATTTATGAGCCTTTTTTATAACAATTCTAAAATTCCCCTTTTAGGCGTGAGCACGATGTTCCTCTTTGCAGTGATCAATTTATTAAAGTTCCCTTAATGGACTCGTTTAACTGTTACAAAGATGAAAGACTTCTTTCTTTGGTAGTTGTTACGCCATACTTTTTGCTTGAATTTATCTTAAAATGAACGTTCGATTGTCCGTGAAAGTCAACAAAAAATCTGTTATCCAATATTGTGTGGGGCGTATGAGCGATTTTTCCTTATGAAATTCGGTAAAGCAAAGTTTCGGGGTATGCAAGTACACTCGTGGGTTATATTGAATTCCACTTGCGTTGACATCACGCATCCTTGAAACGTGAGCAACCCTTGTGTGCTGCAACCATCAAGTTGAGCAAGAGGCGGTAACCAATTCGTGTGGAGCCTTGGCTCACAACTAAAAGAGAGGAAGCGTCAGTGGAGTCATTCCGACTTATTCGGTTTATGGGTCCGCTAAAGTCTAAATTTGGGCAGAAACTGAAAAATTCATACAAATATGGAGAAAGTATCTAGAAAAAAATTAGAAAAGGGATTATAAAATTTCAGCTGATAAGAATTCAAAGCAGAATAATGAAAAAAAGTCGCTCATACGCAATGTCAACTCCCTTCATTAAGGAACAGATATTTTTCTGTATTATATATTTCTTACTATAGTTAACAAGTAGTTAGCCTTCTCTGGGCTTACAAGTTCAATGCACTTTCTGTCATTATCACACTAATTACTTTTTTCAGCACCATCTAATGTAGTATTCATACCGTTAGGAAGCATCGGGTCAATGCTCTGTTACTCTATAGATTTGCATTGCATTGATGTTGTTCTTGCTTTGCACAAATAAAACATGAAAAGAGAAAACTCTCTGAAAAATAATATGCTCCTATATATTTTTAAATCGTATTTCTAGCTTCACATTTATTTTAAAACTACAGCTCATACCTAACCTTGTGTGCTGCAGTCATCAAGTAGGCCTTACATTTGCCTACAAAGTTCTGTGTTAACACATTGAAAATCATTACAAAGTTCAAAATTCTTTCTTTTTTATTTTATTTGAGTCAGAGTAAAAAAGTAATTTCATAGAAATATAGTTTGCATGCGAACAAATTAGTTGAAGACAATTAATTAAAAGCATGAGAATATTTACATACATACTTATATGTATATATTTTCTATATATATTTCCCGGCCGAGCTATGCTCTCAGTACAAATACTAAAACTTATGAAATTTATTTTGCTTTAAATAACAAATTTTATATTTGTTTTTATTTATGTGCACAATTAAAAGTTTAGACAGAGAATAAACACGATTGATTGCATGTCTCAAAAGGTCCATTGGCGTATTTTATGAAGTATTTTAATTCGCTCGTAAATTACTTGCACAAAAAACCGATAAACGTACAAATCTATGAGTATGAACATCTGTATTCGAGCTTAAACTAAGTGCAAAGCGGGTAAGAAACGCATTTCTATTAATTTCTGCTTTCAACAATGCGGGCTGGGTGTGTGACTCTTTCCATATAATATGCCCTAGACTTGAAAGATACTTGACGCAGGATAAGTCGTTTTATTCCTTAAACCCTTTATCATTAGACATGAAAGCAAGTATTATTTAATTATATTGGATGAGTGCATAAGTTCGTGCCCGATTCCGCTGGATGCCGTTCGAATCGTTTGAGAGTGGCGTTCTTGAAAGAAATATATACATATTATATANGAAAAAAATTTAAAAATGTGGAAGACGTCAAAAACCACCTTGACACCTTTTTCAACGAGAAACCGCGCGATTTCTATGAATCAGGCATCCGTAAATTGGTTGAACGTTGGGAGTGGATTGCCGAACATGATGGCGAATACATAATTGATTAATAAAAGCGCTTTCTTCAAAAAATTTCAATTTTAGTTTGCACTTGAAATCGGGCACGAACTTATGCACTCATCCATTATTAATGAGAATGACTCAAACCTTTCTATGGTCATAGGCTAACGATAATTACTTAACTCTAACTGTCAAGTCAACAATGATCTAATGCAACATAGCAATCTAGAGTGTGGATTACAACTCACTGAAACTAATTAACTAAAGGTCATATATACTCGATTCCCAATTGAAAGCGATTGCCCGATTATAAAGAAGTCCGAATATCAATCTCCCGCTCGAAAAAACAATAAAGGGGCGGGGACCGCTGGCTCACTGGCCGAGCTATTGAAATTCGGTGCCGAGGAACTAATACTGATTTGGAAAGTAAGTAGACCTTATCAGTGTGGCTTTAGAAATGATGAATCCACCAATGACGAGATATTCACCATGCGCTAAATGATCTACGTGTTTTTATTTCATGTGCCCCAAAGGATATTTTGCATGAACTTTGAATTAAGAGGTCTTTATTAGCTCTGTTGTCTCTGAAACTATGCGGCAGATTATATTCAAAATTTGTCAATTAGTTTCTATGGTTCCTGGGCCAAAAATTAGTATGATTATTCTGCTGCTGCGTGTTATAAGCCAATCTTATATGGTCAAATTGAAAAAATATAGATCCGAATGGAAATTTCAAATTTAGATGATGTATATTACGGTTTCCCCCTTCTTAACAATATTAATTGGAATAAAAATTTAACACAATGCACAAAATCAAAACAATGCTTGGCTGGTTTCCTAGCATTTTCTTGGATGTTAATTGAACCAGGACTCGAACACTGACCTTCCGAATATTAATACGCAGTGCTAACCATTCGGCTATTACCTTGATAAACCGAACTCATAATGAACTCAAGCATATAGATAATAATAATAAAAAAAACTTACGGCAGTTTATTTGCAGCGATTGCAGGCAGCATAGCAATAAAGCTGCGGCGAGTAGACGCTTAACGGGCTGCTGTGAAAGTATTGGCAGGAATAGCTGAACTCTCGCAGCGGGTGGCGGCAATGTTGGTGACTTTGGCATTTTCTTTGCCTACAGTTATGAGTGTTTAAGCTAATGTTTTCTAAAATTTTTGACATCCATGCAGATACATATATATGTTTATATGTATATAGACACTTTGTTACTTTACTGACGTTCACTGTTTTCAATTTTAGCACAATATATATTTTATATGTATGTATTCACATACTAGTAGATTCATACATATGTATGTATGTTAGTGTGGATTAGCGGTGGGAAAAGCAGTTGTCTGCCATACAAAACTGATTGATGATACCAATAATGATTTGTCAATACAAATTATACGCAGTGTACACACCTATAAAGTGATAAAGATACATACATATATATATGTATATGTACATGTATGTATGCATATGTATTAAAAATTTACGCAAACACTTACATTCACATTCACTAATTTTACACAATGCCAATAGAATCTTTGATTTAAGTTGCATATACATATATATTTATTGGAAAATTGCACCGAAATGCCGATTAATGGGGCAAATATGTATTTATTGCTTTTGTGTGTTTTCAAATAAAATCATACAAAAATATATATTTAAGTATGCGTGTGTGCATTTGGCCCAATTAGCACTTTTGTTGCATATAAAAGACACACTCGTATGTAAATATGGTTTATTTCACTACACAATTTGGCATATTTTTGTATGTATATATACATATGTATGTATGCACAAACACAGTATATATGTACATTCATATATTATTTATGCAGATTTTGTAGGCACTTGAATTTATTTAGCGCATTATCGTTGTTGTTATTGTTGTTACATCAAATACATACATACATATGTATATCTATTTTATTTGCATTATTTGTTATGCATTTTGGTACAGATCTTCATATATTCATTAAACATTATGTGGGTGTTTGTGGTTGATTTGATTTGAATTCACATTGATTTTATTTACAAATATTTTTTGTATATATATGCATGCATGTTCCATAAACTCCACAAGCAATTAGCCTTTAGCCAAAATCATATGTTTATAAACACTTGAGAATTAAATCAAACTACACTTACAGAGCTTTTATTTGATTTTCATTGCAAACAAAATTGAAATTTTATCAAAAAAAAACTTTGGCAATAGAAAAAAAATATTATTATTTTTAATGGTAAAATATGCACTTTTATTTAAATTTTTCTTTTCTTCTTATTTTATTATTTCAACTTGAGTCACGCTTGCATTTTCAATTTATGTATATTCATTTGTTTATGAAAACGCCAACGAGGTTTTACTCGCATAAAATGCTAATAAAATAATAATGCTTTTTCAAAAAAACTTTTTTGTTCATATTACTTTTTTTTGATTATTTTTCTGTGTCTTGATTTTCAGGAAATAACAATTAAACTTAAAAAATGTATTATTTTAATTTAAATTATATAAATATATATTAATTAAAATTGAACTTTATTCATTATAATATTTAACTACCAGAGGTTGCCTGTGATAAATAACATATTTTTATATATATTTTTAAAAGCCTATTTTTTTTTTTTGAACTTATAAACTATTATGTTAAAACGTGTGAGAAAGAAAGAAGAGTTTACGACATATTTGTCTAAGGAAGATACTTTCTACTTTCAAAATTTCAACCAAAAGAAGTCCCAGAGTGGGAATTCCTCTACATATTGACATAGGCATAGAGCCATCTATATTCCAGATTCCAGTAAATAGAGCCATGAATACTAATTTTTGAATCGATCAGGCCCAGATCCACTTTCATGAAAGAAAAACTATTTAAGTGTTAATCCAGACAAAGAGCTGTATACATACTTATAGATCTTCCATACTAGAAACTCTGTAAGAAAAAGTATTCCCTAATTAATCTAGGCTCAAAGCTATCTTTTTCCAAAATTTGGTGTGAATCAAACGATAAATGAAATTTTCCAATTAGATCGGTTCGAAGTCTACTTTCCGGAAGAAAAAGTGCTTCAAATGTCAACTTGGGCAAAGAGCTACAAATATATGTACACTTGTAATTTTATGAAAATCGAGCGACTTAAAAATAATTTCGATTTTTTCAAATAGAAAGTCTTTTCTTATCAAATGCCCATCTAATACACAAAAGACATCCTCCAAGTTTCAGCTCTCAAAAATCAATGCGTCAGCTTTTGAGATATTTCAACTCAATAGGATATCTGTATATACGATCGGCTTTTTCAGATTTTGAGTCATAAATCTTTCAAAAGAATCTTTAAGAGCATGAAATTTAGCATTCTGCACTCGTATGCACAAATAAATATTAATACAAAAATCAACAAAATCGGAAAATTTTATCATATACTCGTAGGAAGTTCAGATGTGAGGTTTTGAGTCCAAAAACCCCGTCAAAATGGCATCTGAAAGCGTGATATTCGGTATTCTACACGCGTGTATACAAATAAATAATGACAACGAAAATCATCGAAAACCGAAGGACTAGAAATGAGGTTCCGGGTCGAAACTCCGTCAAGGCAGCATCTAACAGCATGAGCAAGCAAGAGCACAATCATATTCATAAACTTTAATCTCAAAGCAAAACACCATAAATCTGCTAAGTGTCAGATTTCGGTTGGACGAAGACTGCTTTCCTCTTTCGTTTATTTTAACTTTATATTTTTAATTATCGTTATAATAACTGAATATTAATTAGATATAAAATTATAGTGAATCACCTAATTTTTAACTTTTCAAAGACTTAAAATATTATAAAATTTTTATTTAAATTTTTATCTGTCAGTACCATGATACAAAAAATAAATTTGTTTCACATAAAATTTTTTTTCAAAAATATTAAATATCTGACATAAAAAGATTCTTTGACTTTTGATTAATTTTTGTGCTAACAAGCTCAGTTTTTAAAAAATAAATTCTCAATTTTCGAAAACTAAAAAATATATTACAAAAAACACAAAAGCTTTCAATGTAAAGAAAAATAAAACGTAATCACAACAAATTCTATGGGTTTGTACTGTATTTTCTGAAATCTAATAGAAATAAAATTATTTTCAGGCGGCTTAGCATTTTTTTTATAAAAAAATAGATATATTTTTAAAGTTGAAGTAAAAATGAAATTAAGATATATTGTCAAAAAATATTTTTCTGTTAATTTTCTATTGTGTGAAACTACCTTTCTTTTTTCGTAGCATGGTCAGAACTTTTAAAAATTTTGAGACCTCCAAGCATATATGTATATTATTGTAGTATGAAAGCAGTTTTAACAATAAAATTTTATTCCCGTATTTCAAATTTATTTATTGAAAAATATTTTATTATATTTTATTTAATAAAAAATTATAGTTAAAATGTTAATTAATTACAAGAGATATATTTCAATTTAAGCTTTTTTATTTTTATTTGAAATATATTTTATTTCTGTTTTAAACTAACTATAAATAAATGTATTGTCTACACTTTATTTTGACTTTATAATAAATTAAAAAAATATAGTTAATATTTTTTTGTTACTTTCTTTGCGATGTCCATGAGAATGATCCACAAATATTAATTCACTAAAAGAGTATATTTTGGAAAGCTTTGAAAATAATTTTGAACACTTTTTCTATAACTTTTTTATCTTATTTTTATCTTCGATACTTTATTGTCTTTTTAGGTTTGTCTTAAATGAAACTGATAATAATTTAATTTTTAATTTAACGTTATTTTAACTTTCAATGCGTCATAAATAAAAATTAATGACATATTATTATTGTTGCATATTAATTACAAAATAAGTATTGTTTTAAGTATGTATGTATTTAAGTTTTTATTGTTCGAAATATTTGAAGCCACCTATTAATTTTTGATTTGCGTCAGCTGCTTTTTTTTGTCATTTTTTGGTTATAACAATGTTATTAAAAAATATTTGGACACTGATTTGTATGTAAATTTTTTTATTTATTTGCATGAAAAATAATTATGAATAATTATTAATATTAAAGGCGACAAGCCATTTGTAAAATATATGCGTTCTTTATGCAATGGGAAAATTAGGCTTTAGAATAACACATTTACACTGAGTTCAGTTTTTCATTTCTCACTTTTTGAATTAAAAATAATTATTATTGTAGTTAAACTGTATTTAATATTTTTAATTATTTTATATTAAATTTTTTTTTTTAATTTAGTTTGGTTTATTTTTGAAATTAATTTCAATCACTTTACTTTTAATTAGTTTTGAGATTTTTTCTATTTAAATAATTTAAAACACTGTTAAGCACAAAAATGTTGTTAATACATTTTTGTAACACTAAATTATACTGCAAAAATATTTTGTATTTATAAAATTTAAATTTTTCATAAAATAATTTTTTTTTATTTGGTTAACTCAGATCATTTTGACTTTTAATTATTTTTAAACATTTAATCATAATATATTAATTAATTACATTTTCCGCGACTAGTTTTCTTTTAGATCTTATATAATTAACGTAGTGTATTTATATATAATATTATAATTATATATAAAGTTCTGAGTTAAATTCTTGAATTACATAAACTTTTTCCACCAAGACGTATTTACATATATAAAAACTCGCGCTTCGCTAGTGTAGCTTGTTAAACGTTGCGCTTTTAAACCGCAAATAAATTGTAAATACAAAAATACAAATTTTCATGTTGACAATTCAATTCAAATCAAATACTCGCGCGCACTCCATACAGTGCTTAACTAACAAACATACAATTTTTTTTTTAAAGCTAAACGCTCAACAGCGCACACTCTCACTTTTCTAAGCCACAAACCGTGCTCACTTTTAACAACGGATATGATTTTAACATATATAGATATGCATACATATGCACACACATTTTTACTGCTTACCTATGCCAGTTTCTATATACATATTTACCTTTGAGGGGTGCATTGAAATTATGTATCTGTGAGTAACAAACGCCGGACACCGGCGAGATCACGCGGCCTCGCGGTTGCTTTGTGCCTCTCTGGGGCGTATGAGTACTATTTTTTCCATTTATTCTCCAGTGGGATTATAGTAAAAAGGTATTATAATTGATATTGGCTAATGCAGCTAAGTTTAGCTTAGCTCAAACGCATCGCTCAGCATCCATTTGTGTCAATAAAACTCGCTCATTAGATGATCAGTTCTATCGCCGTATATATACAATATAAATATATATAATATGTATATTTTATTTTCTTTTTTTTATTAGAATTTCAGGTAATTACAAGCAGATAAGCGCTAAAGTACTCGATTGCAATCATAACTAATATGATTGGAAAACTACGTACTTACCTACATATATATATACTATATATATATATATATATATATATATATGTACATAGTTATAGATAAAATAAAACAAATATTGTTTTAACACTGCCATGCGATTATCACGCTAAAACTTAGTTGGTAATTGTTATTGTTGCAGACTGGAGCGCTGCATTTGTTCATGTGTGCAGGGGTACTGTGTGGCTGTCTAGTAATTCTAAAGGGCTTTACGCCTGTAATTAGCATTTCTATGCGCTTTTTTAAATTAATTAGTTAAGAATTTTATGAACTCACTTATATATATATGTAATTTGTTCGACTCTTGAAGCACAGTGGTGTGAAATGCATAATAATAAAGTAGTCCATTTTATATTTTTGCTTTATATGGCTTTACTGATCTGTATCTCGCATTCTATAAGTGTGTTTGGATTGCGCTTAAAGTGTTAGAAATAAAATATCTTTTACTAAGAAAGATGTTGGAGAAAGTGTTGATCACTTAAGTGAGTAGTGTTTGAACGCTTGCCAAATATCGACACCGCCAAAGCGAAAATACGTTTTAATCCACTATAAAGGCGAAAACTCAGGTCAGGCAGCTGAAAATGTGTATAGTTTATATGGTCTTGATACTGTAACCGTCAATCTTGCACATTTTAGATTTCGTTGATTTCGATCAGGCAATTCTGATGTCAAAGATAGTTTACGGTATGAGAGGCCAATTGTCTAAAATATCTATAAAATAATAGAAATTGTCAAGTCAGACTGTTATGCGAGTACAAGAGCGAAACATTGTTTAAAAACAGTTTAGATCCACTTGCAAAAGGCTGTATAAGAAGAAGCTCGATCTCATCGACTGATTATCCATTTGCGAATCGCTGCAGAAACATAACAAAACCGATCAAAGGTCTGAAGCCGATGACTGGTAGAGCAACGTCAAATGAAAACGGTTGTAGTCGAATGGTTGTGAGCCAGCACAAACGGCCCACAAGCCAGGATTGACGGCCAGGAAGGTTTTGTTGTGTTTGATGGCATTGGTCAGGACTCATCCACTATGAGCTGCTCCCCTATAGTGAAACTCTTAATTCGAAGCTGTACTGTCAGCAATTGAACCCTTTGAAGGAAAAAAGTGACCAGAATCTCAACTTTGGCCAACGCCAGACCACATACATCGATAATCTTGTAAGAAGGTCCAAGAGCTTGGTTAGGAACTTTTTTTTTTTTGCATTCCCTTCGTACCAAGTGATTTCCCTCTGTTGACGTCTATGGCGAATAAATTGGCTGGTGAGGAATTTTCCGCAATAGAAGCCTGTGAATATCGATTTTCCCATTTGTTTGACTAACTACACGCTCTTAGGCGCTTTTTTGAAAAATTTATGACCCCAAATACTATTATTATGCTGCAGTGGTCTGATCTGGTCGTTTTCGTCAAACGATCATTTAAATATACCAGTGCATCTAGGTACCAAGTTTGCTTGTAATATATGCTGGGTGACAGGAGCAATGCTCAAAAGTTCTACGAAAAGATATGGAGACCAACATAAAGTTTCAAGACCGGAGCAAACTCTTGTAGGGCACCCAGACATAATTTTATGAATGGCGCTCAGAGTATGCTGGATTTATGTAGGGAACATTTTTCCCATCTGCTGAAACATCAGGAGATGTCGTACACGATTTTTCAATCGAAGACGATGGAGCAGGTGGTTAATTTCTTGACTGTCAAGAACTTTGAATAGCAATCGCACGCTTGAAAAACAAGAAACCGGCGGAGGTCGATGGATTATCGGCTAAATTGATTGATATGTCCCCGTTTCGGAACCCAAGTGTGCTCTGCCTCTGAGGTTTCAAACGGAGTGAAGGTCTTACTCCTTGTCGGTTTCCACTAGCGGGTACTGCAATGAAAAATTTCACAGCTGCACTGCTTTAATCTATTCCGGGGACATGACCTAGCCAACGTGGCCACTATCTCTTTATTCACTGAACTGTATTAATATATATAATTGGAACTTTGTAACCACTGAAGCGATTTTCGACCGAGCTCCTCCTTCGATTAATGGTTTTGCATCTGGATGTTTTTTTCCGACAAATGACAAATGAGGGACCTACAATTTATACTAAGCCGCCTCCGAACGGCTGTTGGCTTCTTATCAGGAGCCTTTATTTCATGTCAGAAATACAGTTGGAGGGGTTGGCATCCCCTACCGAGCGCCGACCGCATTTAGAAACTTTAACTTAATTGTTTATTTAAATTAAAATTCTTTAAATTTTAGGTGTTGCTCGTATCAGGATTTGGACCCGGGCCTACCGAATGAATGTGCGCAATGCTAGCCACTCGGCTACCGCCGAAATGTAAGATTTACAAAGGCGCCGTAAAACATTTGAACAAATATATTATTGCGATATTTTTCATATAGACATAAAACATACCACAAGGAAGTTCATATTTTGGAACACGACTGTGTACTCATACGCGTCTGTATGTCTGCAGATGGATATGTATTGGGTTGCCCAAAAAATAATTGCGGGTTTTTTAAAAGAAAGTAAATGCATTTTTAATAAAACTTAGAATGAACTTTAATCAAATATATAATTGTCATTTTGTTCGATAACCTTTTGCCATCTTCCTGGCAAATTTACTATTCCACGCTCATAGAACTTCTGGCCTTTATCTGCAAAAAACTGAACCAAGTGCGATTTTATAGCCTCATCATTGCCGAAAGTTTTACCATTTAAGGAGTTCTGCAAAGATCGAAATAAATGGTAGTCTGATGGTGCAAGGTCAGGGCTATATGGTGGATGCATCAAAAGTTCCCAGCCAAGCTCACTCAGTTTTTGGCGAGTGACCAAAGATGTGTGCGGTCTAGCGTTGTCCTGGTGGAATATGACACCTTTACGATTGACCAATTCTGGTCGCTTCTCCTTGATGGCTGTATTCAATTTGTCCAATTGTTGACAGTAAACATCCGAATTAATCGTTTGGTTCCTTGGAAGCAGCTCAAAATATACGACACCCTTCCAATCCCACCAAACAGACAGCATAACCTTCTTTTGGTGGATATCAGCCTTTGAAGTGGTTTGAGCTGGTTCACCATGCTTGGACCATGATCGTTTTCGACTAACGTTGTTGTAAACAATCCATTTTTCATCTCCAGTTATGATTCGTTTTAAAAACGGATCGAATTCATTGCGTTTAAGGTGCATATCACAAGCGTTGATTCGGTGTGTTAAATGAATTTCTTTCAATACATGTGGTACCCAAATATCAAGCTTTTTCACCAGTCCAAGACTTTTTATGTGATAATGAACGGTTGATTTTGGTATATTTAACTTCTCTCCTATCTCACGCTCAGTTACATGACGATCCAATTCGATTAATGCTTTGATTTGGTCATCATCAACTTCATTTGGCCGACCTGAACGTGGCTCATCTTTAAGTGAAAAATCTCCAGAACGGAATTTGCGAAACCAATTTTGACACTGTCTTCCTTTTAAGGCTTCATCACCATACACATCTCGTAACTTTTTAGCAACCTGCTCCGCGTTTTTTCCTTTACGGAAATAATAAAGTAAAATATGACGAAAATGCTCCTTTGTGGGCTCCATATTAAAATTGACGCCAAACAAACAAATGTAAACAAAATTTCGCGCACTTTTTTTCTAAAGCAAGCTAAAAGTAACAGCTGAAAACTGACAGAAGAAAGAATGCAAGCCGTCACAAGCCGTTGAAAAAATTTGTCAACGCCGACTATATGAAAAATCCCCAATTACTTTTTGGGCAAACCAATAGTTGCGTAGCTCATTTACGGACTAATTTTTTACTCTCGGATTACTGGGCTCGCCTACGCAAGGGAATTACGGTATGTTGCTTTGTTTATTCGATTAATACTAATGTGATCGCCTATTAATGATAACGAAGGCACACACAAAGGTATATACTTGTATATATAATATGTATATCAAGCGAATGTGGCATGCGACAAATGCGGTAGCAATGCATAGTTGTAGTTGTTGATCATTGGCGCATTGTGCGTATTTATTCAATTGCGACGATATCGTTCAAAGCGTCGTTGATTTTACCTACATTCATATATGTACATATATGTATATACACATGCGCATTATGTGTACTTTAAGTTATTTACATAACAGACATACATACGTACATACGCACATATACTCAAGTATGTATACAATATGCACAAGTGCTTACCTCAAGCAACATTCATTAGTACAGTTGGTGCTGGCCTCACGTTTTGCTATTTGCTGTTTGCTGTTCAATGATGTTGATATGTGATGACACGATATTTGATGTCGACGATAATGATCTGGGTGGCAAGTATTTGTGTATTTGAATTTGTACATTTTAGTCGGTTCACTGATTTGATCGCAAAAAAAAAAACATT